TAAAATCATCATTCTGAATCGTTTGACAAATACATTTCTTTTGCTGTTCTTTAGGTTCAAGTCTCTGCTGGCCTGCTCCGGAGCAGAAGGAAGCGGCAACAAGGCGATTGAGATCAGTGACATCAAGTACAGAATCTTCCAGGTAACAAATCTATTCTTTGCTTCAAATACTTATCTTTGTTTGATGCAATGTTTCAAGAGGGATTGAATCAACTGGAGACAGATGTACTGCATACAATATGTTAAACTACAGTACTGACCTTTGACCACTCCACAGATGATGATGTCATACCTGTACTGTGGAGGAACAGAGTCGCTAAGAACTAATGTGCCCGACTTGCTGGAGGTGAGAATCACTAAAACTCATCCATCTGGGTAGTTGTGTAAAACAGTATACTAGTTTATAAGTATTAAATGTAAAATAAAATGTATTTAATTAAATACTATGTTAAAAATGTTAGATTGTATCGTGAAGCTGCATGCATGCACAGCAAAATTGTCGACTGACGGTCAAAGTGAAAGCAGTCAAATGCAGCCACTGTTTGAAAATCATACTACTTCAAGTTGATTTTGCTATACTGGAGACTTATCATTCAGTGTTAATGTTTCTCTATGTATCTACAAAAAAAGGTAGTCAGCAAATTACTCATAGCTTATACAGAGTGATCGCTCAATGTAACAGAAGTGTCCTTCAATGTTGTATCCAAACGTTGGACATCTGTGTTACTGAATGGAGGATAACACATTGGTTTGTGATTCCTCCTGCAGTTGTTGTCAGCTGCTAGTCTGTTCCAGCTGCGCGTGCTTCAAAGACACTGTGAACTCCTGTGCTCTCGGCTCATCACGCTGGATAATGCAGTCAGCATCTACAGGACAGCCAAGGTAACACACACACACACACACACACAGAGAGAGAGAGAAGCCTGGATCATATTGTTCTGTAGCTGTGACAATAGCAAGCTTTAGAGCGAGAGAAACATGTTAAAATGAAGAAAGATCTTGCATGAATACAAGTTTCTTCTTAAAACCATTCACACATCAACTGGATAATGCACATGACTGCACACTGTGTTACATGATAGATGTCCTCGATGTGACTTTCTAATGAGATAAAACATCACTTTCTCTTCCCCAGGCTCATGGTTCAGTGGAGCTGAGCTCATTCTGTGAAGGTTACTTCTTGCAGCAGATGCCTGCTCTACTGGAGAGAGAGGGCTTCAGGACCCTACTGCTGGGACCCCCCTCGGCCCGACAGGGGAACAACTCCATCTCCACGCTGGCTCACACCCGGGGAGAGTCGCCTCTGGAGGAGCTGGAGGCGACCCTGGCCCAACGACTACGCTCTCTCTGCGTCACCTCCCGAGTCTGAGTCTGCAGAAATACGAATGTGGCGTTCGAAGCGGAGGTTTCATTTCATCAGTGATCCAGGATCAGCTCTGAAGACAGACTAAATAGTTTATTACAGATGTTCTTTTTAGTAACGCCTGTTCCTATCACTAATAACAAGCTGGTTCCACAGTGCTTTGACTTTGGGATACAGATCTGTGATTTTTTTGGCTGCAGATCTCTATGGACAGTTTAGCATTTTCACATTTTGTACCAAACACTCCATCTTGACATTTTTTGCAGAGTACAGCATTCATGAGGAAGAAAATTGGACAATGTGATGCTTTTTCTCCAAGGCTCGGGAAGCTTAAATGGAGAAGCAACAGATGGATGCAACAAGTGGGAACTCTGAATAATTAAACACTGCTGCCCTCTACTGGACAAAACTGGCAAAAATAGAGTTGCCCTGGAGGATTGGGATCACGTTTCCCTCCTGGTTCTGACTGAAGCTGGAAAGTGACAATAGATTGAATCATGGGAGGCAGCCATGCTGGACTTGTGGCTTTATCCCGTTCAAACTAATAATGCAGAGTGGGCGGACAGAGGTAGACTCAGTTCCTCTGGTATTGATGTGTACTTTGGATTAACAAATGTACTTTTTATGTAACTGTATGTTTTTTATTTTTAAAAAGTATTGCCGGAGAAACAAAACACTTACTGAAGAGTGGGATGGACATTTTCTATTTAAAGAGAAAAAAAAGATGTGAGAGTATTTAATGGGGTGTTCCCTTTTTATTTTGTTTTTTAATCCAAGCAAATGATTAATATTATTGATACAAAAAAGGTTTTTGTGTACCTGTGTCCAGGTACACTCTTAACAGTAAATGAAGCTTATGTAAGCTGAGGTTTAATGCTTCTATACAGGGACAGCAGCAGAGTCCATCGTGGGATTTGGAATACAAAACATATGTTTGAATGCTGAGTATTGTAATAAACCTTGTAAACAAGCTTTGTAGGTTTGTGTGGATTTGTGTAGACTTACCTAAAATCCAGGATCTGATACTTGAACACATCTAAAACATGAAAGTCATTACAAGTGCTATAGAAAATAAAGTAAAATACATTCTTACAGCAAACACTGGTAAAAAAAAATGAATTTGAAGATTGGCATGGTTTCAGTTGTTTGAGAAAAACACTAAGCATAAACACTGAGCATACATTAACAGGCACGAACAAAGGAAAACAAACACACCATAACTTAATGAGTTTATTTGTTTCAGCACTGAAGATGCTCACAGTTATTTTATATGGGGATTACAGTCAGTTTTGTTCCTGCTCTGTCCAAAGCCCGCTCTGGGCCTCAGAATCATCAGATGTCCTTGGTGCTGCTAGCTTCCCATTGTAGAAAACAGAAAGGAGGGTGAACGATAGGGTATTGCTTTGTGTTTGTGTACTGACATCCCCTCACTGCGCCTCTGCTGCTAACAGGTACAGAGAGAGCAGACCTCCGAGCCTTCAGCCAGAGGTACAGAGTCAAGGAAGCATCGCTCAAAAACTTTGTGCACAAGATTAGAGGAGGAGGAAGGGATAGATTAGCGGGAGCCAGGGAAGAATTAAAACAATAAAGAAAGAAGGCCAACAAATCAAAAAGGGTGAAAAGTAAGGGACAGAGGGGGGATTTCAAAAGGTAGTTTTGTGGCGAGAGAATCAATGAAGGCTGAGAGAAGGAGAGAGTTTGGCATGGAACATGAACACTAAAGCCATGCAAAGAAAAGCTCATGTTTGACATGCACACGGCAATACAAGCTAAAAGCATAGAGCAGGAATCCCCAGCACGGTTGAGAAGACAATCAACCCCCATGGTTCGTCTGTATATTTACAAAGAGAAGAAGTAGATCTGTGGCGCCCTTCTCCTCAGGCCTGGCCTACACGCACAATAATATGAAACTGACAAATATCAATAGAAGAGCATATTCCCTCTCCAAAAAGAGGCTAAATCTACATTCTTAAATTACTGGTAAATCATTTTTTTCAAGAGTTCCCACAAGTTCTCTTTCCCTCTACGGAGAGGTCAGGGAAAAGAGAATTTGTGTCTTTTAGATGTTCACATAATGACCAAAACAAAAGAAAAATAGTTCATTTTTTTCTTCAAATGTTGCCCCATTTACGAACACACAAGAGGGTAATAAATAACATTCAACTGACCTAACAGCTTTGTTCATATAAATAGCCAAGTTATAATAAATTAGGAAATCAAACAATGAGATGAACAAACATGAATAAATAAGGACAGAAATACAAAAAATATCCACAATTGCATTTATCACGTCATCATTTTTTTTTTTTGTTCCTCTACTCCTACTGCTGGTAAGTGAGACTGAGAGAGAGGTATGGATGGAAAACCAAAGACAGAGTGTTGCGGACAACACAAACAGGAATGTTTGGATCATTATTAGGTCAATCAAACAAAGACATAAATTATCATGTAACAAAAATACACAGAAGAATTTAAAAGAACATTAAGTGGCAGGGGCAGGTTTACCAACCTGACCCTATGGTATCTAAACATAGTGTCACAACTAGACATTTCATTTTGTATACATAAGAAATGATATCAGTCTGTACAACAGAATAGATCATTCATTTTAAATACCCAAATACCCACCCGCGTCCCTCCCCCCTACCCTATACTATCATATCTCCCCCTCTTCCCATTTCTTCTCACACCCAACTCCTCTCTGAAATCACAATTCCAGTCCATTTGCAGCAATGTTACTAAGTCTAATAAAGTCAGTTTAAACCCAGTTCTTCACAAAGAAAGTACATTAAAAATCAAACAAATACAATCCAGCAAGCATCCGCGTCGGCTTGTTTGGGAGTTCCACAAAACTCCTCCCCCTTCTCTCCTCCTCTGAATCAGTCTTCTTTTTGTTCGTGTTCGTAAAATCCCAGAGTTTGAGTCTGTGCATACTGGACCTGTATGCATGTTCATGTGTGTGTGTGTGTGTAGTGTCATTCCAACGATGAATGCTCCTTGAGTGGAAAGGGGGGTCCGGTCGTCGCGGGAGGGGGGGGTTTGCGTTACTCTTTCATGTGGATTAGTGTGGATTAGTTGTGCACATGTGTGTGTGTGTTTGTGTGTTCCTAAAACGGGGGAACACTATTTTCCCTCTACGTCTACTGATGGCTGCCAAAGGTGGAGAAGGGGCGCAGAGGGGAGATGAAGGTAGAAGTCTGCATGATGAAGGGTATGTTTCCATGGTAACCACCCCCCCCGCATCTTTTTTGCAGCGCACCTCTAAAAGCAGTCCTCCGTCAACAATTGTCTGTATCTCTCTTGGCACGCTCAGGGGGGGGGGGGGGTGGTAGTTGGGGGGTTGGCGGAGGTGAGGCGAAAACGGAACGGGGACACGGAGGAGGGGCTTAATAGGTTTTCTGGATAATTCCTGGTATCAGAAACAAGTCAGGGTCATCACACAGGTTAGCAGCAAAAAACAAGAGATAAGATGGCTGGGGGGGGGGAGGGGGTGGATGATGATGGTGCACGCTGAGGGGTGATGAGAAGTGTGTGTGTGTGTGTTATGTAGGTGCAGTTCGTAAAATATTTCTCTTCATATATTTCTATCTATATAAAGTCATTTTATACAAAAACATATATGATTATGTACATCTAGCTATGTACAGGTTTTCGGAGGAGGGGGTTTTAGCACATTCTCGGTCTAAGACTCCTCCTGTGACCCCACAGTTGCCACGGACAACTTGGCCCTGTCTCGGCCCGCGGAGGGGCTTTTGGTGTCATTACTTTCTGGCTCGTGCCTCCGGACGTGCATGGGCGAGGGACAGTGCTTGGTGGGCGTGCCAGAAGGGTAGGGCACCTGTCCGTTCTTCTCGTCTGAAAAAAGTTGGTTTATTACGTCAAAGAAGTTACTCAAGGGGCTGCCTAGGTACACAGATGGGGGGGGGGGGGGGAGAAGAAAGAGGACAAAAAAAGGGGGAGAAGAGAGAGAACAAACACACCAATGAACAATGGGGTTCACAGGACAGAGACGTAGAGACAAGCAGAGGCGAGGACTGACAGACAGCGAGGAGCAAAACCATGCGTATGTAACAACGAGTGAAAACACAGGGAGACATTCAGTCTAATCATCGATATAGGCGTTCTGTAGACTGGTAGGATATAACAAGCTGCTTTGAACTATGGGATGCAGAAAGCGTGGTGTGTCATCTGTCTGGTCAGCCAGAAGCCGGAGGAGGACAATGAGAAAGCTTCAAGACAACGTTTTCCTTGAGGGATATTCAAATCATCAGCGTCTAATCTCCTTTTCATAAAGCCGATTGTTTGCCGTTTTGCAGACGCCAAAATAAAATGATGATGAATTGTATTTAAGTCATAAATATTCCTAACTTGGTACTTTGTGCTGGAGAAATGGGTTGTAGTTATGCTAAATAATACATGCTAATATCTTTGACACACAGTCTGAGTCCCTGTGTGTGTGTTGTGTGTACGTCCGACAGCTTGCATGCAAATGATCTTAAGTTAAACACACTCCCTCATTCCACAGGGCCTTAATGGTCCCACTGCAGGTAGGCAGAGTAGTGAGGACACCAAACATGAGAAATGGGGCAAATAAAAACTCAATGTTCTTTTTGTTAATGGTGCATGCACAGAACAACTGGGAACTATCAGCCACAAACAGAACTGTTTCTGAATAGTTGGCAGTAGATCCATTTGCACAAAAGAGTCCTGTGGGCCGACAAATGAACAGTGGCAGCATCAGGAAAAAGAAGCGGGGGTGCCACACGGACGACAAACACACACACACTCACACACTGGACTGGAGAGTGTCTGTGAATCAGGACTACATCAACTGTAACTGTTAGACAGTGGAATTTCTCTTGCTGACACTAATGCATATTGCCAGTGTGTGGATGCCTGCAGTAGTGGTAGGACATTAGGCAAACTTCCTCTTATCACCAATAAGTGAGTGTGTGTTTGTCTTTGTGTGTGTGTGTTTGTGTGTGTTTTTGTGAATGTTCCAGAGTTGACATTGCCAGCTTAATTATCCTGCTGGAAAACATTTCCCTAACATTCCCTCTTCCTTTCTCATGTGAAGAATTTCCACACTTAGTCCCCTCACTCCACCCAAATCTGCACATTTTCAAAAATGGAATTGTATGAATCTTAATAAACTCGTTGTAGGGTGCTTGTTACAACCCAGAGAGTATCCTCCTTTATTCTGATTTCTTTAAATTAAATATTATAATAACACTTTTGATGACATACTATAGTAGGACTTTTTCAATAGGACCTTTATCTTATCTTTATTTTATGTAAGGCATTTTAAAAGTAAGGCAAACTGTACAACTCGTTTATTTTACGACATATTAAACTATGACATATTTTCAACTTTTTCAGGGATTACGTTTTTTATTAATATCACTTTTTAATGATAGAGAACATACTATATTGTAACTTTTTAATTAAATATTATAATGTCATTTTGAATTAGAATTCCTTTATGATTTTTTTATAGAAAACTTTAATAAGACATTTTAGGTTTTTTGAGCATACTATAATACGACTTTTTCATCGTATACTATACCATTATATTTGTTTCTGTTTGTTTTAGAACTTTTTTTCTATTCTATGACTTGTTTTATTACAATTGTAAGCCATATGATGTGTATAAGATTGTTTTATTATTATATGGTATTATTATATTAAACATTTATAATATATATATACAGTATATAATGTCTACACTCTGATTTGAGTTTTTAAAGGCATATTGCAATAATTATTTTTCATGAAGTTTTTATGAATGTCATATTATACTAAGGCACACTATACCACAACTTTCTATGGCCTTTACTATGACATGTGTATGGTGTACTTTATGAATGGTTCTCCTCTGTACCCCTTTAATATACTACCTGCGTGTCTCCACACACCTTTCATTGTTCCGCCCCTCCCATTGTCTTCCTAAGCTTGGCTCCCAGGTATTCTGCTGTTAATGGTGATAAGGGGACATAATAACCGAGACTTGATGAAGCCCTTTGTTTGACACACATTGGTATGCAAAGCTATTTCTATTCTTAATTACAGCCAGTTTTTCTCAAAGGTCCAGTCGTCAGGTAGCACCAAAATGTGTTAGGAGGTCAAAGGAAAGAGAAGTAGAGGAAACAGTGAGTTTAACAAAGCTTTCAATTACTGCTAAGCACACATTTAAGATGCATATTACAGAGTGAGACACTCTGATGGCACTTAACTCAGCTCTGACAGCAGGAACATAATACAATACTTTATTATGTATGTGTTTTTGTAATAACCATGATATCCTCTATTGATAAATGAGTGTCATTATAATACACAGTACCCCTCTGCTGCTGAAACGATCCACAGCAGTCGTTTAAACCTAATCTGATGTCATTTACTCTAAATCTACCCTTCCCACACCTCTGTGGGCTAATTAGCTCTATAATACATAAGATCCGAAATAAAAGATAAACCAACTGAGGCACAGCGATGATAGCAGACTGTTAAATATCACAACAGGTGGGACGGCTGCTGTTCATTTCTGAGTGCCAGTGAGAGAAATATTGCAGAACAGCCACTGGGAAAATATGCAGCTCGCACTTGTTATTTCTAGTCAGGTTTAACCCAATCTAATATTAAGCTGTTTGGCAGTTAATCTGTTATATTATATAAAAAATAAAAAACATGGGACATGGAACTAGAGAAGTGTTTAAAAGGATAAAGACACAAACATTCAGACGCAGAGAAAATGGTTCACAGGCAGTATAAAGACAGGCTGATGGTGTTTCCCTAGGTTACCAACAGGTGGAGCCGTTGTCAAGATGATGGCGAGACAAAAAACCGAGCAGTGATTCACAAGGAAGGACAAGAGCAGATGGGGAGGAGTAGGATCTATATTTCTCTTTTCTTTGTCTTTTTGTCATCCAGACCAGCAAATAAGAAGCTACCGCACTAAAATAAGACACTTATACATGTCCACGGCCTCAGCACCAACCCTAAGGCTAGAAGAAAGAGAGGAGGCTTTATAATGTCACCAAGTTCACAGGTGAGCGTCTGGAGGTTGGCCTTCAGAGGGTTTCTTTATGTGCTCGGGGGCCTTTTGAAAGGTCCCAGAGAGGCTGGTGGAGGGATACAACAGGGGGGATGGGGTCCTATTGTACAGGCATCCAGAGAGGGAGGGAGCAGGGAGCTTGTCAGGTGTGGTGTCACTGTGCGGTGCAGTGCATTGTGGGGAGTGCGTTGAGGTGCAGTGGTGTTGCCATGGTGACAAGCTCCGACGATCAGTCTTGGAAGTAGGAGTAACAGAATGCAAATCATCTTCCCCTACCTTCTACTCTAATCTTCCCCTGCCAGGGCAACGAGACAAAGCTTGACCCGCAGCCTGAGAGCAGCTCCCCACCCTTTCATGGCGGTGAGGCGCGGGCATGCACAAAAAGAAGCTGTTTTTTCGAGTAGCGGAGTGCGGCTCGGAGTGGATTTCAAGCACAGGGGAAGCGGAGGGCAGGATTTAGCTTCAGCGGTGAGAGTGGTTCATCTCGGTGTGGAATGGGCGGATGAGGCGGTGGGAGTGAGGGTGGAGAGGTTTTGGATAATATTGTTTCTTTTGAAAAGAGAAGTTCCTACTCACCAGACAGCTGTTGGACCCCTGGCTGGTCATGCGTGCTTAACAACTGGCTCTGAATCGTCTCCACTACTCGCTTAAAGCGCCGGCTGGGACCTAAACACAGGCACAGAACAGCAGATATTTATTGCAAAGGTAGCAGTGTGTAGGAAGACGGAAGAGCACGTAGATGGATTCATTAAAAGGGGAGTAAGTAAGAGTGTACATGGTGTGAAAAATGAGCTGGAGAACAAAAGCCTGAGATGATAAATGGAGGCCAGAGAGGAGTGCTAGTGTAAGCACGTGCTCTCTTCCTGTTGTGTACATTCAGTGACATGGAAGAACAGCAGGCTCCAAAGTGCCACTATTACACCCAATTGATCTGAAATGTGGCCCCTTTTTGGGTGTGTGGGGGTGTATATGTGTGTGAGACAGAGAGAGAGGAGCTGAGAGAATGCGTGTGTTTCTGCAACACTAAGCATGCATGCATGATTGCCTAGTATGTAATCTTGCATAGCCAGACCTCATCTCGTTACGCTCGGGGAGCTTTTTGGAGGGAAAATCTTATCAAGCATTCAGGATTGCGAGAACTTTGAAAATCCTTAGGCAGCCATTCTATTTGGCAGAGAGTTTGAACACACATGGAAGCGGCACTTGTGGTATTTGTTGGCTGGATAGATATAGATTTATTTTTTATTTGATTCAAGTGTGACGGCACCCCACTCAACATGCAAAGGAGGGATGCTTTTCGGCACTTTTCAAAAGTGAAGTGTGAGCTTGAATTTCCCCAGACCTCTGTGAATGTGAGAAGATGGAAGACTTATATAATACTTTATGTAACTCTGTGAACTACTGACTCGCAGCAGGACAGTGCAGGGTTTGAACTGGACACATTCTGTATGGACTGCCCACATTAGAAGGAATCCAATCAATACAGACTGTTGAGATCAATACACCTGTAACGTGCAATTTATACCCTTTTTTTGTCAATTCTCTACTATGCAATAACCATGATCACTTGTACGTGCAAAACATCATCTTTGTAGTATCTTAAACCTTAGTCTTTTTTTACTTAGCTATTTAAATGGTGCTACTAATTTGTTAGCCATAGATGAGTACTTATTTGTCTTTATTTTGTATTACCAATGTGTGCTTTTCTTCTAAAATTAACATGTTAGCTACTTTATTATTGCTGGCCTTTTATCTGCTATATCACTATTGCTGTAACACTGCACATGTCCCCGCTCTGGGACCAATAAAGGAATTCTGATTATCCCCTACATTTAAGCCAAATGTTGTGCCTTGAACCCCTTTTTCTCTTTTTTATTTATCCAGAAGATACTGTTAATATCTCATTCTGAGGGAAAAGGAGTTCAACTTATAAAAGTAAAGTACGCCTTCGGCATTTGATTCGTGACCTAGTGGGTGCATTTGACTGAATGCATGCAGGCTAAGTGGGTGTAGAAAATGAGGGTCGGCCTGGCGGTGTTCTGACCTGAGAGCAGGGTGAAGGTGACAGAGTAAATGCCGTTCTCCTTAGTGGCAGCTGTGCTCTCCGTGTAGGTGATATCCACCTGGAATTTGACTGGCTTCTGGAAGACTGTAGGGCCGGCTGTGGACTTGTACTCTGCCCGGAAACTTGTCTGAGAGATGACGCTGTGGCTCAGGCTGGGGATCTGGGAGAAGTGGACAAATAGGCAGAGATAGGAATAAGCAAATAATAGGATTATAAACAAGGAGCATTGTGGTTATAGTTTTTACCACGTGTACGCAAGTGACAAGGTGAGTAAACCCTCATTAAAATACCCTCCACATACTCTGCGGAGATGAATGCCTCGGGGAGAAGCCGTGCATGCCAGGGAGACTTAAGCTAATGTAATCTTGAGTCATCCAACAACTCTGCACTCTCCCTCCTAAAATGAATTTGTATGCCCGATGAACAGGTGAGCTCGGAAATAGTCACATGTCGCCATAGTGCTGGAGAGGGTTTGACATTCCATTAATGTGAGTGTGCTGAGAGGTATAATTCCACTGATTCAGGTGCCAATCTCCTGTCTGTAACACCAGCTAGCACAACCCAGAGGAAAATAGCTCCAGGGAAGGGGAAACACATTTGACATTGACCTGCACTGGCATAGTTTGGATTTACTTTGTTAAATGTAACTGGGGTGAGGATACTTTTTTGTTCAATTATGTACGCTGATTATCAACTACCACTGCCGAGCTTTTGTTGATACAGATTCTGCGGCGCTGGCGGACAAAACCCTGATGTTGTCTATATTCCTGCATGCATTTGTACATCCACATTATAAACCCACCACGCATACACAGATACAATCTACTCCATTTCTTGCACCACACATTTAAATATACACACACATGCTCAATACACAGTATCAAGGGCAAAGCATCTATATGCTAATGATCAATGCTCTCTGTTGATTTTCTATTGACCTAAAGTGAGTCTTCAGTCAGAGAGAAAATAGAAGCACTGAACACTAGCAGTTTACTGAATTGCAACATAAATCAGAAGCATGTTAGCAAACAAAGAGAGAGCCAGCCTCGTAGCATAGCCAATCACAGCTGCTGTTGGAAAAGGCAACGTCCTGCATCAGACAGCAGATGTACAGGTAATACGCATGTATGGATTTACAGAGAAACATCAGAGCACAGGTAGAGAAGGGTTTATCGGGGTTAAAGGTAGCAGGGGAAATGTGAGGAATGAAGCAAGTACCGAGAGAAAGGCTTGAACGATGTCTGCCTTGATGGAGCTGAGAGGTTTGTCTCTGATGACGATGAAGATCTGCTCCTCTTTCTCCAGGTTGATGAAGTTACCAAACCATGATTTTTTGGCAAGTCTGTGGGCATAAGACAAGAACACAATGTTAGTATATTCCTGTTGGAGAGGGGTTGTCCTCATTACAACCTTTTTAATTCCATTTGAAAACCCAGCACCCACCTATCCTCCTGAAACATGGAGAGCTGGTGAAAAGTTCTCTCTCTGCAGCTCTGGGGAACTGCAGAGAGAGCAAACGGAGGATGCCCTGAGGGAAATGAGCTAAAACTGCAGGGGAGATACCTTTCCTGACATTTCCCCCTTCTGTGCAACTGTGTTTGTGTAAATGCATGTAGGTCTATGTTGGTGTTAGTGTGTGTGTGTAAGGGAGAGGGGGGGGGGGATAATTGAGCTTCTATGTGAACAGAACTGCAGGTCCAGACGGGGTAGAGGTAGATGAATTCACTACTGGCCTCAGCCCAGGTGTATATGCACCCTCTAATAAGCCATATGGACTCCTGTCTTGTGCCACATTAACATTCCATGAGCTTCTGGAAAAAGGTTGATTGATTTACAAAACTGTAAATTGCAAAGAGAAACTCCCTATTGAATTATAAATTATTCCATAATGTTACAAGCAACATTAAGGGGCTTTTTTGTAATACTTTATACACAGTGGGTGTGTGACTGTATTAATGTGATGAAGCCTAAACTAGCCAAGGAAGGTCTTTTACAGCCAACACTCCAACTCCTACAGCCAGGATGTTCTTCCCAGCCAGGTGGAAATGGCCAAGCCAGCGAACCAAACAGGCATATCTAGGCCAACCTTCAGTTATCAGGCCCCTGGGAGCTCAGCAACATCACACAGCTACCCCCCCCCCCCCCCTCTCTCTCTATAACCACCCCAATACCTCCTGCCACGGTGCTTCTTCTCCAACCCAGACCACACCTGAGGTCATTACCGTGGACTCAGCAGGCACAAATCAAACCTTCACAGATGTATTACTTTCCAAAACATCATGCTATCAAGAGCCAATGAGTGAGGGGCTGACAGGTTCTGCATAGTGATGAAAAAGTATCTACTCACTCTGGGGAAGACTCTGGTGTGAGGCTGGACATCTCCTCTTGTGTGGGAACTGTGGACGCAGAGATAAAGTGAGAAAAGGTTGAAGTCTCAGAAAAAGATAGATTTCATTAGTGGGAACGGGAAGATTTTAGGATTAAATAGGAACAAGGAACAAAAGACCCCCCACAAACTGTTCTGTCTGCTGCCGTCTAGTATCAGGTCTAAAACCACCGGAGTCAGAACCTAATATATCATTGCATTTACTTGTATATAGACTCTTTTTGCACTATTTCAATTTTATTTGTATTTACTTGCACATCTCCAAACATTCTCTTGCACTATTTCATCTGTTTTATTTGTTCTATGTCCTATGCACTGTTGGAGGAGCCTGTGACCTAAGTTTTTCATTGCCATATCTACACTGTAACTAATGTGCTAATGACAATAAAGCCTTGAAACCTGAAGATAATTAAGTGTTTAAGGTTTAAACATCTTAAAGGATGTCAGTACCTTGTAGTTTCCTGCGGTGGAAGCGTGGCGAGCCCAGGAAGCTGTTCTTGATGGAGTTGAGGCGCGTCCTCCAAGGCATGCCTCCGATGGACGGGCTGGGGGGCGGCGTCGGATTGGGGGTCCCGGCTGGGCTGTCCTTGGGAGTGTGCACCGGGGTGCCCTTTGGGGTGGGGAGGGGGCTACCTCGAGGGGAGGGATGAGGGGTAACCTGTATGAGGGGGATAGATTTGGGCTGGTCAGTGAAGGAAGAAGACGCGGGCGCTACGGGGTGGAAGTGGTGCAACCGGATGGGGGACATCGGCACCGCGGGGACGAAGGGCACCGAGAGCTGGGGGCTGGCAGCGAAATGGGAGCGCCTCACCTGGGGGCTGTTTTGGATGGGAGTACTGGAGATGGAGGAGGGGGCAAAGGGGAAGGACGGGGAGGATGGAGTAGTAGGGGTGGGAGGGACAGAGGCAGAGGGGGGCTGCAATGGAAGCTGGAGGGGAGTGGGTGGCTCGGATTTGGCTGGAGATGCTGGCTCTGTGGACTGTCCGGGGAGCGGGATGGAGCGGGTGGCTTGGAGGGGCTTGGGGACCGTTTTAGGCTTGGAGGGGAGTGTTTGCGTCCTGTTGAGTTCTGCCGGCGGGGGCCTGCTGTTTGGCGCTAGTGAGTTAGGCGTGGGGGCACGGGGGGCTGCACGATTGGGGGCAGACTCAGGGGATTGGCAGGGGCTCGAGTTAGGCGACTGCAAAATGTCTGGGGTCTGAGGCGGTACACAGAACTTTCTGACAGGCTGGAGTTGGAGGACACGGTGTGAAGACACGCAGCACGACACAGCCGAGAGCCAGAGCAGGTGGAGGAGGAGGAGAAAACAAAGCAACACACACGGGGACACACGCAGGCACGAACGAGGAGTGTAGCAAAACAAACAACACATCCAGAAGAAAAGCAGAGGCAGGAGAGATGTGTGCATACACGGGAGAGGTGGAGGCATTGATCAAAAAAGAAAAAAAGTGGAAGACAGAAAAGACAAGAAACATGCAGTTAGTCCATTCAGTGACTCATGTCAAGTGGGAAAACAGCAAGCAATGCACACAATTTAAAGAAACAACAAACATAAGACAAAATGAAGGACTTCACTTGATAAAACATACAGGGCTCTGATGGCAGAGAAAAGCATGCAGACACAGATGTGTGAGAGCCATGGGACCAGCTGTGAGGACACTTTAGACTGTTTCAATAACACGAGGAACACCCTCATGATATCTTTGCTGTAATATTTCCCACGTTCCAGGTTTATTGTTCTGTTTGATTTGTAATGGTGGAATTGCAGGCACAATGGTACCCTGATAAACTATTTACGCCTCCCCTTCTTCCACACACAAATGTGAGAAAATAGCCCCACACAGAAGTTCTCGCTGAGAGCACAATCCGGGCTTTGGGTAGGTCTGAGAAATCAATTTCCCTTTCAGATCAGCCTGAAGGAACCTGTGTGGCGCGAGGAGCTCGTCTTAGGATCCTGGCTAATCTTGAGCCTTCTCAGGTTAGTCAGCTGGAAAGGTTTTCCACAAGCTCCCCAGCTCAGCGTAAGAAAAGTGGGATTTTCTGAAGCATTCCAGGAGCTGGATTTCCATAGAGCTCAGGCCAGGGAAAACAGAGAGAGGGGTAATACGCAGAAAGGATGGAAAAAATAAGCTTTGGGGCGGGGGGAGAAAGTATGCTGAGCTGTCACATCCTCCGTTTCAGTATATTTTAACTTTCAGATAACAGGGAGATCCAAATAGACAGATACAGTGATGACTCATGTAATGTATGAAGAAACACCAGATGAGAAGAACTTAAGTCTTCAAAACTGAACCTTTGGATGAAAATAATAAACAGTGCATTGCAAAATCAGAAACACATACATCAGCTACTCAATCTAGACTGTCATGGTGTGAGTTGTTGAGTGTTGGAGATGTCTACCTTCTGCTCAGAGTGCAACATGTAAACATTAATGTTGTTCTTGTGGATGAGCTTTGACACTAACTAGCTCTTATTCATGGTTAGGTGCATGCTTCCTTCTGAAGGTGATATGGTGGGCGATTGTAGAAAGAAAAATAGTTCCCATTTCTATTTCTGTTGATTTTTTCCAATGTATTTTTGATGCACTTTAGACTGAGTGCCATTTAGATGAAATATCTTAGAGAGGCAGACATCTCTATGGCTGCTATAACCAACACTCAGACTAAAACAATCTATATTTATGAACAGCACCCCAAGGAAGAGGGAAGATATTTTTTATTAAGGGTTGAACTGTTCCTTTTTAGGTGTGGAAAAACGTATGATATCTCAGACTCATAATAAAGTAGAGCAGTAGAAAGATATTGCATGAGCAGAGAGATAAAGTGATATTGCTTTCATACTGAGTTTGCGGTGCATTTGTTAAAGGTCAGGCACTGGTGATTTTACTGTCGTTATTTTCTCTCCCTCATAAACAGCAATAAGATGGGATCAGCGGGAGTTGGTTGGCCGTTATCCATGAGGGTGAAGAAGTAGCTTGGTCCACAGGTGTGTGTTGCAAGTGTGTGTGAAAGTGCACAGACTAGGATCATGACTTACCCGTGGGCTGCTGAGGGGGCTGGTGGAGAGGCCGGAGGAGGCTCCACTGATAGACCGCGACCTGGGGCACAAACAGGCAAGAACACACACAGAGGCGGAGGTTATTTGTGAGATCCACATGTGTACCTGTTACATGTTTCATTACACACAGGTGGGGGGTGAGAGTGTGGAGGTTACACAGTTAGAAAGCATCACAGCCTATGTCACCGTCATAGCAAGCGCAGTAGATTCTACCAAGCCCCAAACACAACACCAATTCACACAAAGAGGGTAAAAGCACTACAACATGACTAGCATTGGTTAGCAGCAATTAGTCTCACAGCAGTAAAGCTCAAACTTTGGTTTAAGTATGCTACTGTATAGGCTCCACAGATTAGCATTCAAATTAGCTTTCCGCCTTGTCTATAGTGTGCTAATAAACCAAATGTGTTGACTTTTAGGCCTTATAGCCAGGGGTGCACATAACTGGTACGCAGGTACGCATGCGCGGCAACAATCTGAAATGCGTACCGTCACTTGTGTCACAAAGCGCATTTGCGTACCGACGTAAATGTGAAGCTTTTCCAGAAGGCGGTTAGTTCACCGGACGACAGAGTCGGTCTCCGTGTGCACAGACAGGGCTGCTGTTAACGTCGGTCTGTACAGCAGCCCTGCGCTAAAACAGCTGATCACAACGTTCACACGCGCCGCGGTCACGAAGCTCTGTACTCTACTGACGCCACCCCCCCGTTGACAATCGCGAAGCGGTGTACTCCACTGACGCCCCCCCCCCCCCCCGTTAACAATGGTCAGAAGTTGGAGTACCAAACACTGACTCCAGGTACTCATCTGAGGACCTCACTGAGAAAGTTGTGTGCACCCCTGCTTATAGCGCTGGATCAGTTGAAAATATCTCGAGGGGGGAAATGAAGTGGGACATTTGGTTGAGTGCCATTTGTCATGTTTTTCTTTTCCCCCCCAGATGCCGTCAATAACCCCTGCGAGCAAAGCCCTGCTCAGAAAATAACAATCACAGGACAATCTGTCTCCATCAAGAGCGCACGCACACATGTACGCTCTCACACACACACATACACACACAAAACAGGGCCTGTCAACACTCGGAAACACCAGCTGCTCACTGTCACAACACTGTGCCTTTTTGTCATTCAATCTAACAAACCCCAACCCCCCCTCATTCCTTTCTCTCTCTCATTTGATGCACAAACATGTGGCCGAGCCTACAGAATCTGTTGTGTCTATTTGAAAAGAGCTACAACTACAAGTGTCTTTCAACTCGCTCGGTTGTAGTGGAGGAACTCATGGAAAATATGAGGGGAGGATGAGGTAGTTTAGGAGTGATGGAGGATTTAGGGAGGGAAGAATGAAGGATGGGATGGAGGGATGGAGTAATGGAGACTGATGTTCATTTATGACGCCGAGGAGTCCCACAGGACCACAAAGGCATCCATACATGGACACAAAACTGTGTACACGGTTACAGCTAGTAGCCATAAAAATGATACCAGTGCTGTCATAACAACAAGCCCAGATTAAGATGTATATGTTTCAATCTTCTAAAAGGTACTGTAGAAACACTTTGGGTGCAGTCACCCGTCTCTCTAGAGCTTTTAATTTACAACCGTCTAGACTCTAGAGAGAGAACTGATACAAGAAGAGGAATAATCCTCCTGAGATGAACAGACACAATCAAAAGAGAAGAGAACAGCTACAATGAGAGGGAGGAAATTATAGAATCACCCACTCTCAAGCTATTTCTGTAACTCTCTCACTGACCCTTCTGTGAGTGTATTTTTTGCACACACTCTTTCACTCATGAGTAGGCGATGTTGAGACCGCGTTGGCTAGGATTTCTTGTTTTCAGGGAGCAGCTGACCAGACAGTTGCTATCATTTACATGTAAGTCCTCTGGTCCACTGAGACATGCCTGCAGTTGTTAACTACAGAGCCTCACACAGCCAATTGCTCTTCATCTGAAACACGAAGCCAAAACACAGCGTCCTCGGGCCATTATGAGCATATTGTTCGAGGCCCTCTGCATCTGTTAGTGTTGGACCAGCACGTCTATAAAGCTAATGTTACAGATGGCTGTGCTGTACAGTAATGGGCTGTCAGAAGCTCACCCTTGCTTCGGAGAGACGATGAAATATTGTTGACAAGTTTTTATTTGTAGCGAACAGCGTACACAACTTAATGAATCATTCATCATCTATCATACAGAAGTTATTAAATCAGCAGGAGAGGGAGATGCTGGAGCCAGTTAAGCCCTCTGAGTTTCTGTAGCGCTTGCTTCAAAAGGGTCAGATCTCCCTTATTAACAAAAAACTGCTCTCCAGAACCCTTTTATTACACTACATTTATTTGACAGCTGCAGTTAGTGTAATCTGATGCTAATACAAAATTAAACATTTAAATGCAGGACTTTTAAAGGTCCCCTATTATGCTGTTTTTCATCAATATATTATAGGTCTCAGTTATATACAAAACATGTCTCTGAAGTGTTTGGCTCCAAATACCAAACAGATCATGCATTGCAGCATCCCATAAACCCCTCTGTTTCAGCCCTGTTTCAAAAGTGCTGATTCTCTGTCTGTTACTTTAGATGAAAATAAGGAGCCACTCCCCACGCCCCTCTGAGAGATATTTGGTTAAAAAGAACACAATGGTGCTCTAGGAGGAGATTCAGGTGATAAGGTGGGGGGGGGGTTACCTTGGTTGGTGATTGGCTAATGGTTAAACAAGCCTAAAAATCGTTATGACATCATAAAGTGGCCAAAATCTGATCAGCTCATTTTCAGACAGGATTTGATATAAACGGATCAGGACAAAAAGTGAGAGAATCTTTTTTCCTGAAACTTTCAGAATCTCTTTCCACAGAGGGGACACATGTTGATGTAGAAAAGACATGAAAAAGTGGATTTTGCATAATAGGAGACCTTTAAATGTTGAATTGCAACTTTTACTTGATTAAAGGACTTTTTAGCCATCACTGGTAAGCACAACAAAATTCCATTTGCCTCATCTCATAGAGGTTTTTGTTTTGAATTCAATAATTTTTTTGTTTGCAATTTGTGTGAAATGGTGTATGTGTGTGGCTTCTCATTCTCATCGTTCTCTTATCCATTACTCCTCAAGATAACATTTCCCATAAGCCTGTTTTGGAATGTTTCCCATGTTCTCAGTGTGTGGCCACCGGCTGTATTAGAGACCCATCCAAAGCACCCGTGGGGGTCTAATGTCGAGCTGTGGGGGACGGAACAAGGACAAGAGGTTCTGGGATGAGGGCATGGACTGAAATGAAATGAAAAGGAAGCATTGTGAAATGGATGGTGCCAGGAGTCAAACGGAGAACAAATAACACTGCACAACACAACTCTACTGCACTGTGGAGAATGTCCCCTTTTTCTCTCTCCCTTTTCTCTCTCACTTTGTCCTGCCAATGGAGTTATTCTACTGTACTTAGTAGATATTCACACAAACCAACACACTGTTTAAATCCATTTCCTTTTCCCCGAGCCTCGACAACTCCTTGAGGACTCAGCGCATTAATATTCACAGCTCCTCCAATCTCTAAATGTAGTACGACCCCTGCAGTTTCCCATGTAGAGATCAGAGTTAAAAGGTGCCTTATTTGTGTTCATTTGAGCCTCTTAAATAAATTGGAGTCAATAATTAGCAGTAGACTTATTAAGACTGCTCTGAGTAAGACAACACACTCAAACTGCATGAAGTAACTAGAGCAGTAAAGGAAAAAAGAAATCAATTGATATTCTGTTCTTCACACTGCAGCACTTTTCCATATTTCATTTACATATCATTAACCTCCCTTCATTTCTCCTGGCATGTTGTTAAGATTTAAAATGAAATCAGTGGGATATCTGGTGCTTTGAGTTTAGGCTTTAAATGTCTTTTTTAAGATACTTTTGGGTGTATGAAGAATGAAGACGTAAGAATGTCTCTGGGCATGTTTCTGTGCAATGTGGCTAGTGCAGCATTTATCCCAAATCTATTCAATTATACTTCACAGGAGCAGTCGAAGCATCAATCAGCATGTATGAAAATGCAGGCTGGGCAGTTGATCGCATCCTTGCTGCCTACATGAGATATGTGAGAGGGATTGAGGTTCAGGCATTTTCATGGTGTTATTTTAGATAAAAACGTCTCCCCTCTCTTCCATCATTTACGTTGGTGGAAATGTATCCTGTCAAAACACATGTTTCAAAGTCAGTCCTCCCACTGACACCCTCTGATCTGAAGTTCTACGAGTCTTCTGTGCTGTCGACAAAAGTTTGCTGTCGGGGAAAGATAAGGTTAGGTTCAGAGAAAGTCAGTCAAATCTTTGGACGTTATTCTGTGTATCCACACCGCATATAAACACAAACACACCAGCATGATCAAAAAAACACAAGGACACGATAAAAGGCAGAAAAGTTACACGGAGAATTTGTTACCAACATTCTTCCCCCCACTGATCAGCTGGAGAGCCATGAATTGCAGATGTACAGCGAGTAAGATTTGATTTGGAGGCGGATGGGCTGTGATATAGGACCCCCCCCCCTCCTCCAACCTACCACAGGTGATAGGAAGCCAGGCATAGAAGAACTGTCCGCATTAGCATAGCAATTCCATACAAACAGACGGGGGGGTTTGGGTATAAAAGGTCGGCAGCACACGAGAAACCACAGCAAAGAAAGAAAAGAGATATGAGCGAGTAGGGAGGGGACCCGAGAGAGATTTGGGTGGGGGGGATACGAGTGATTTAAAGTAGCAATGAGGAAAGATGCAGTGGAGCTTCTGTAATGACTGCGGCTGATGATATATGTACGATCCAGACACTATACTATTTCATATGCCGCCTTCTAGATGCAACTTTTTATTGAGATTTATACGAGTAAACTTCGAGGTCCATTTCAGTGTGCTTTATGACGTTCGGCGCTCAGTTGTGTATGATCTATGAACTTGTGTTGTTGCTGCTTTGGAAAGCATTTATAATGCTTGATGAAATCAAAGCAAAGTTATTTTGAGACTCTAGGCTTGACTAAAACAGATGAGTCAGAGCGAAGGGCGGAAGAAAGTCACTTTTAAACTAATGCAATCTTTATATAAAGGAGATATAAGACTTGGATGGCCTGAAGGGATGCGGGAGCGGAGTGGAGGCGATGAAACACGAGAAGACGAATGTTAAAGTGAAATTCAGAGGCACCAGAGGACAGAAAGAATTAAGGAGAAGTGTTTGGAGGTGGGAGCTCTTGAAGTGGATTTAAAACTTCTGAAGTGGCTTCCCCAGCGAAGTGAGGCAAGGAAATGTTGTCATTGGCAAAGCACTATGGAGAGGAATAATTAATAGATATGACATTTGGTTGAACATTCCATTTAATAATTATATCTTTTTGAATCTATACAATGTATGCAGTCGCTGCCTCTGCATTTATGTCCCATACCTCTGGAATCTTTCCCAGCGCTCGGCCAATCTGCGTATCATTAGGCAGATCAGGTTATCACCCCCTCAGATTCAATCTTCCCCGCTGTCACAAATGTCACTGCCTCTGAGCAGAAATGTGTCGTGTGATGATATATTGCTTGTTGAAATAAGATGGGGAAATATATTTTGAATCAGTACGCTGTGCCTTGTGGGGGGGGTGGCTGGATGTGAACATTTATAAAATAGAGAAATGGAAAAACGTTCTGCATCTGGAGAAAGTGGGACAGAGAACTGCTTATCAATGCATTCAGATTATAAGAAGAAGAGAGAACTGAGCTCACATCGGAGAACGGGGGATGTATATTTTAAGGATCTGAATTGCAAATTAAGTTATTAAAAGAGTTAGGTCATACTTTAGGAACTGCCATGCCCAAACAGTTAGCCCCAGCTTCTTCCTTTTCTCAGAAGAAATATAGCTTTTAATAAACATAAGCAGCCACAAATATCATCACCATTCAAAACAAAGCATCCTTTCAACAGAAAACACCACTGCATCTTTCTTCAGCTATGGACCTTTCCTTTGAATAATGGGTCTAAACACAGAGCAAGAGGAGGTAATGTGTGAGGAGCAAGTGAATACCTTTCGTCATTGCTGCATTTTGTACCGCCATCACGAATTTCCAAGCTTTTACTGTACACTGATTTACTACAGTGGGACAGGAGAAAAAGCGAGCGGAGTGTCAGTCTCTGTATATCCACAAAGATATAACCCACCAGAGCCAGACCCTCTGTCAGACCTGCTAAAACACCACTAGGCTGCACGATCCCCCCCCACACACACACACACACACACACACACACACACACACACACACACACACACCACACACACACACACACACCACACACACACACACACACACACACACACACACACACACACACACACACACACACACACACACACACACACACACACACACACACACACACACACACACACACACACACACACACACACACACACACACACACACACACACACACACACACACACACACACACACACACACACACACACACACACACACACACACACACACACACACACAGCTATGTCTATTTCCATTAGTCAATTTTCAAATTGTATAGATTTGTCTGGTTTTTCACTTCACCTCCAGGCGTACCTCTGTCCGTGCTGTGTCATGTCGATGGCCCTTCTTGCCGGTACAGGCGAGCCCCCGTCGGTGACACTGAGGACCTCCATGGACTTCCTCTCTGGTCTCCGCTTGCCATGACGGTTCAACATGGGAGAGTCCACCCGCTTCTTTGGGGGATCTGTGGAAAACAGATCGATTCGGAATCAACACAATGCACCTCGCGTATTTCCACAGCTGCTTTGTGCATTTGTGTGCAAGTATTTGAGCGATGTAAAGCGCTGATCACATTTAACTAACAGTGAATAAGTATTGGTTTCCTCACAGACCTTGAAGTAATGCCGGGTGTATTGACTCTATCACATTCACCGAAGATGGAGTCTATTAATCAAAATGTCGCTATCTCACAGCAAATATACGTTTGCACATACCACTCGTATGCAGAGCTCTTGTTGTCAGAAAAGATCCATGGCAGAAGTCTAAGTAGTAGAAGTCTCTATTTCGGCTCAGATTTTCTGTGGGTGGAAATCTGTGCTGCGTTCGAATGGAAGAATACCTTTTTTTGATGAGTTAATATTTCAACCAAAGCAGTCGCAGCTGACAGCTTTTCAAACTTGGCTCCTTGACACATTCTATTTCTGTTACTATATTTCATTGAGAAGAGTGTCTATATTCAATAAACAGAGAGCTTTCTTTCTACTGGAGAGCCAATCCAACACGACCGGAGCTGATCCAATTCAGTGAGGAAATCACCGCAGAATGGTTCAGGCACTAACAGCATTCATGAGTTAACTAGGACTTTTTATTGTCTAAATAAGTTTGTCTAGTGTGTGCAAAATGCTGTATACTATAAGATGAAAAGCCATTCACATAGAGGTAATGTTCAGACACACTGTGTGCCATACTGTGTTTACAGATTGAATTCAATTATCCCCTCCTGTGCTCTTTTATTGACTTGTTTTTGTTTTTATCACAATCTATTATGTAGCATATATTTATCTTTGTCTGAGCCTCACCTATCTCATTGCGAGGTGGAAGGTTCTGGTCCTCCTGACTGGGGTACCTTTCCTTGCGATCCAGTAACAGGAAGTAGATCATCTTTTCTTGGTTGTCTCTGCAAAGTGGAGACAACACAATGTGTACTGAAACATATGGAAGATAAATGGTTTAAACTGAATTTTGGGTATATTTAGCTGAGGGCTCCATAGACACGTACACCAGCAGGTGTCTGCATGAGCTCAAAGCCAAGGCGTTAAATTGCAAAATCCCTCACTATGATTAATGTGCTTTAATCTTTTTGGGTTCCTTGTGAAACAGCTATTAAACAGCTTCCTGTGAAAAGAAAAGTTTGGTTTTACAGCTCATTAAGCCATCATAAAATATTCTGCATATCTTTTAAGGATGTATCTCCATTCCCAGGGTCTACTGGTAATTCTATGAAAGTATCAAAACATTATGAGTCCGTCCTTTTCTTTCTCTATAAATCAGGAAGCCTAATATCTCTAGGCCAATCATCTGTATGCAGAAGGCCCAGGGACTGGCCCTCCGTAATAAAGACAGATTGGAAAGCAGTAGGAGGTAAAGAGACAAGGACCTGCAACTTCAGCTAAAATGAACCAGGGGAAGGGAGATAGAGGCAGCCCATTCTCCTCCAGTCCAGCACTATTATGGGATGCTCCCAGGAGAAAGGAAGTAAAAAGAAGAGATGTGGAGAGGGAGTAATGCTTATTTAGTATTAAATTAAAGAGGCCAGGCAAATGTAGAATAGAGTAAAAGGAGATAAGAAAGCAGGCGGAATGAAACTGCAACATCTGTATGCTTGTAGTTATGTAAAAAGCACTGCAAGGCAAGTTTTCTCAGCATAAATGCATATTAACAAGAACAGAAGTCTAACTGAGACAAAAGCATTAGCAGCAGAACATAAACAATGTGACCCAGGGGCTTGTTCCTGGATCAGTTTTGGGGAATGTACCCAGTGGCAAGTGGTGTTAGCACTGTGTGATAACAGTTAAGTGGTCTATAGCCTCTGACATCTAAACAGACCGCCTCACAGGATTTCATAAGAGATGGGAAAAACCAAGGCTCTCTGTCCACACATACCCCCTACATCCATCCTTGTATTGCAGTGCCGTCCTCTCATTGCCTCACGTTTCCCTCCCTCACATCTTCTGGTTTTTCTCTCCTTACTCAAGCCTTTTTATTTACTAAACCACACCTCGATTCCACTGTTGTCCTTCATCCCAGCTTTTTCCCACCCCTCCCTGTTGCCCCTCCATTCACTCACTCGTCTGACAGCAGGTCTTTCAGCAGCTTGTTCTTGTCTCTGAAGCAGCCCAGGGAGTGCATGCTGTCCAGGACGTCTGGGTCGATGTCGTCTGCAGAGGGCAGGCTGCGGATGGTCACCTTCCTCGGCACAGGCTGCTCCGGCTCCGGTTCGTTCTTCCCCGCACTGCGAATGCAAAAAATAACATCACAAATATGGACACTTTTAAGCCATTACTTTGAAACTTCCACAGCGTTTTCATCATGTTGAGCCATTCTCCATGTGAGCTTTAGCGGTTGAACCGGGGTCATCATGTTCCCCGAGACACAGACAAAAGGCTGAGTCATCGCAAGTTTTGTATCTCTCCCTCTTCTTTTAGTTTGCTTTCCAAGTTTAGAGTATCCCCTCCTTCTTTCCAGACACTCTCCTAGTTATGTCACTTCTCTATGTCTCTCGTTTGTCACTCTGTATAAAGGGAGTGTACAGAGAGGACTGTACTCTTTGGGAGTAAAAATGTAAAGCTAATCCACACTGACATACATTTTTTGGAAGATTCCTAGAACATTATAGATGTCTGTTTCAAAAAAAGGATATATACAAAGTTGCTAATACACACAAACTATACTACATAGCATACATATACACCCCCTACTTTACTGTCCAATGCCAATTTATAATTTCCCTCCTATGGTGAGACCAGTGAAGCGTAAACCTCATTCACAGCACCTCCACCTTTCTATAAGCTGGGAACTGGATCTGCAGTCCCACACAACCCTGTCTCACTTTGTTGTAATTGTGTGGAGGTGAAAAATAAATACGGTCACATCTTACATGAACCAAACATGTCTCCCACTTAAAACTACATATAGTTGCCCATGTATTAGGTGCACCAAAGGCATTGTACTAGAAGAGCCCTGCAATAAACTAGCTACACAGTAAGAGTTATAGGTTGAACTTTTGTTAAAACTCTTTTAGAAAAGTACCGAGCACTACATAGGAGTAATTCAAATTTACAACACCACGAACAAAACGCTCCAAAATGACTATACAGTTAAATCGATACCTCTCTGAACACAAAGAACTAAAACTCTTCCCTGGGTTGTTGTACTAGATTGCACTACTTTCTGTTGGATGTACTGAGTGCATGTTTGACCACTGGCCATCATTAGTGTTCCATGTGAAGAGTGTGTGTCCTGGTGCAGTCCTTTCAGAACCACTGCTCTGCTCAGATTGTACGAAGAGCACACATTAACACAGAAATACAAACAGGAGGTTTGGATGGCCTTATTATGTTGTTTCTTTTGAAAAAAAAAATAGTTTGGGTGATTTGGAAAGATATGCTGCATCCCACACAGAGAACATCTTATCCATTCGTTCATTCATTCAGCCAGGCAACTTCCTCACTGACAAACCTCACATTAGATTAGTCTTCTCTCCAAGCTCTTCTTCTCTCCTTTTGTTTTTTCTATCACCACCACTGTCTGTTCACATGATCTTTCAGTACAGGACAGAAACCATAACTCATCCCCTTCCAGGACTCACAACCTCCGGCCATGATTCATTGTTGCTCTTGTTGTGTAAGAATCTTAAATATCGTTATTTTTCTTTCAAATGTAAGCTGCAACTTCTGATTATGATAATCTGCTAATGCTTGTCAGCCTACAAGACATCAATAGTGTGTCAAGTGTACCATTTATTATCCTTAAGCCCTTTATTAATGCTTTTGATTGCCCATTAAGAAAACCTTGTGAATGAACATAATTTACGATGATGTGAACCATTAATGTTCTCAGAAGATTTATGGTCAAAAAGGTACACACTCAATTAAATGAAGGGTACATTGAGGTTACGTGGGTTCATTTTCCAACACCAACACCCCTGCTGCCTGTACAGTTGACCATATGCTGCATGTCCTCTTTCATGCACTACCAATTTACCCCCACATCCCTGAGAGTGGAGCCATGACCTGCTCAAATGTACTCCCGTGTACAGGGCTGAAAATCAAAGCCATTTATCATGTGGCGGCTCCCCTCAGGTCTACAACCCCGGCAGGATATGCTAAAAGAGGAAAAGAGAAGAGTGGAGGGTGTGTAAAGGAAGGAAAGACAGAGTACTTACATGTACCATGTGTGCTTCTGGATCTGTTCTAACTGTAAAAGACAATCAAAAGAAACAGCAGATTAGTACACATTAATTTGATCATCCTTCATCCTACATTTTGTTATTAAAAGGCAACAAAAACATTCAATAAGATGAATTACAAAAACATTCAATAGTTTCCCAGTGTATAGAAACCCTTGATGTCAGTTAACCCTGAACTTACTGGCTCAGTGGAAAGCACAATAGGTATGGGATTAGTTGTGTTTCATAAAGATAAAGCAACACTTTCTCAGAATCAAGCAAAACTAAGAATTTAAGAGAAATTAATTTAATTTCAAAAATAAAAAGTTGCAAACAAATCATTTGTGTAATCATGTAAACTATAAGTATTTTGTCTTTGTTTTAACATATCTTTTTGTTTGCAGTTCTCTTTGCTTCTTTCTCAATGATCAGACTTTATCCCGTTTTCCCACTTCCTCTGAGGGGAAAGCATCAGATCCACGGAGGGGGGGACATGAAGAAAGACCTGCACCATCTTCATCCACGCTGGGCGTAGCTGTTATCACTTTAATTTGACCAAATATCTTTACATATACATTTAATAGATTTTATTATTATCCACCTTTTGGTTTTATGTCCTTTTATTTAAAACATTCTTTGAGACTTCATCTTCTGGTTCAAATTTCAATAAATGTAATTTGTATAATGACTATTTTGTCATTATTCTACATGAACATGTTAGAGATTCCATTCAAATCTGTTGATTATTCAGATCTTCCTCAGGCTAGGAATAGTATGTCACATTTGTAATGCTATATGTATATCATTTTCTCACATGATATAGAATGAGACAACACAGTTTGTATCCATTGTGTATGAATGCTTCAGCTCTTCAGACCAACATAGTAAGATGTGAGCATGTTCCTAATTGTGTTGGTATGCAACCTAGGTCTGGTCTGTTTAATAAAGCAAATCTGCCACTTTTATATTGTAGAATTTGTTAAATTAAAGCAGTCTTTAATTGTTTGTCCTAAACATAGCAATATATGCTTTTGAAATGTAACATGTCTTTAAAAAAATAACAGTATACAGTTTATATTGTGTATCACCCTTAGCTTGAAAATACATAGATGTGTTTGTTTTATCAATAAAATAAATAGATAGACAGACAGACACTTTATCGATCCCAAATTGGGAAATAATTGTTGTTACAGCAGCAGTGTGTTGAGGTATTAAAATGTTTAAAGTTGGAATGAAGTATAAACTACACAACACAAAGTATAATGCACAGCAATCCATAAGATAAGTCCGATATGTTCATGAAACTCCCCAGGAGGCACCGACACTAACGTGGCCGAGTGGACTCCGGAGTTTGCTGCATGAGTTGCACTGTACGATCTGTGGTGTAGTGGGCTGTCACTCAAAAACTGAGTAGCCAATGGCGACGCACCCCTGAAAGTCTCGCCCACCTGGGACGTTTGTGTCAGACTGTGCAGCGAGAGCAAAAGTCTGATCGTTGAGAAAGAAGCAAAGAGAACTGCAAACAAAAAGATATGTTAAAACTAAGAAAGAAGACATATAGTTTACATGATTACACAAATGATTTGTTTGCAACATAGTTTTATTTTTGAAATTAAATGTATTTTTCTTGACTCAGTTTTTTTTTCTCTTGAAATGTTAGTTTTGCATGATTCTGAGAAAGTGTTGCTTTATCTTTATGAAACAAAACTAATCCCATAAATAGGACAATACCGCCAGATGGAAGTAAATAATGAAGCCTTCAAATATTAATATTGCCAATGGGAAAAGCGTATTGAGAAAAGAGCGAGGCACAGAGAGGTGCAGCAGGAGTATGAGAGAGAGGTGATACCACTGAGCCATAAACAGAGAATATTATCTCCCTCACACACACTGCTGACCCTGCCAAGCCCTCTGGTCTTAAGGGAATATCCCTTTCTCTTACTCACACAAACACTCGCTCTCTCAATACTACTCTTGTCATCACACTTTTAATGCGGCCACTCTGTCACCAGCACTGTCAACACTGTGTTTGCCAACAAAGAAAAAGCAGAAAGAGACAGAAACACTGAGCAAAAGGGCAACAAAGGGAGATGTCTGTTCGAATGACTCCGAAGTGTTTCAACTGCCCACAGAGGAAAACAGGATCAATGCCACTGTTGGGACTTTTTAATTTGCCCATGCTGTTGTTGAGGAACCACAGGAGATACACATAGCAGCTCTAATTACCGTCACTTATTCAGTGGCATAGTTCTTGGGTATGTGTATCCATTAATGTCTCAGTGTTTCCAGCACCCCAGAGGGTTTACCCCTGTGTTTCAGCCTTCATGTGATATTAGTGCAGACACAGAGCAGGTCAGGCTGCGGTTTCTGACTCTAGGAGCATCTCGTCTGCTCCCACAGAGGTCATGGTATTGACAGAGACACCTTGCCTGTCAGATACAGGCCAGTGGGTGACCTACTCTTACTCACACTTTTATTGAGGGCCTGGAGGCAAGAGACTGATATCATACGCAGGGTTGAAAGTGATGGGGTTTGAAATGTGGTATCACATCAATCAGTCTTTAAATGTGACAGTACCAATTCCAGCTGCTTTCACTCAGGCAGAGGGGGATGCTGCTGCAATACTGCTTTTAGCTAGGTGTGAGGTTGTGCTTTCAGGTATGTTTTTAACTTGGAACTGCAATAATCATTTGTACTAAAACTTGTATGCATGTCTGTATCATATTGCTGGTTAATAGGTCAGGAAGGGACATGAGGAAGGTCATTGGGAGCACTTGCAACTGCCGCTAACTGAAATGTCTGTTTTGGGAATGAGATGGAAAACAGCTGAAGAGGTGGTTAATTCATGTATAATTTGTGTTTGTATCTTTGTGTCTTATAAACAGTAAATTCATCAAATTCAGTGCCCCATAATGCCATTTTCTAAGCTACAGCTGTCATAGTGAGCTTACATTTCATTTTTGTCTTGCAAAGTAAATTATTTTACACCTCCTTGGGCTTCAGACTTTTAGAAAGCTGTTGATTGATATATACACTTTATTATGCCAAAGACATTTGTAATTTTGGGAAAACACAGCATTTAAAAAACACAAAAAGTAGGTAAAATACAACCATACTGTACCTAAGCTAGTGAAGGCTGGCGTATAAGATACTTTTGTAGATAATTATCGACCCACTTCTTCCTTTTTCTGTTATTTCAAAATGTGTTTTGATGCTCCAATGTGTTAAAAGTTTGTTACAGCACATACATGAGGATAAACTAACCCTGCTATATGGTACATGCAGAGTAGCAGCCTCAGACTGTGGTGGAATTCACTTATATCAATACAGTGTCATTTTGAAACATAAAATCGCAAAATCTTCCTTTATTTTCATAGCAGCCACTCCATCCCTATGAATGTATTAGCCTATATGACTGTGATGAACTGCTCTTTAATATAATAAGATGGCCAATCCTCTTCATTAGCCCGGGATCGAGAGGACGCAGATCTTCCCAGGGTGTCTGCCATCATTTTAATATTGAAGATGAGATGACTGTGTTGAGGTGGCTGGCCCCATTTGCCTCCGGGGCCCTGACTACACAGACAGGAAATGAAGAGAAAGGATTTTATTGGGCTAAGCCCCTTAAGCCCGGCGACGTGCCCTCCCTCTCAAGACTCCGAGGGGCCTTAGCTTTGTGTGTACTTGTGTGCATCTACTGGCAAAATGTAATTAACAGAGGTGACAATAGACATACTGAAACACAGCCAGTAGTTGTGGTCTGATTATCGCCTTAATTTAACAAACTATTGTCAACACCATTATGAAATATAATCCCTTGGAAAAGACTGACATTATGATGTCATTCCCAGCCTTATCTCAAGACTCCAAGAATGCTCACACTGACGGTGCTATTTGACATTCTGCGAGGTTACAACACATCCCCAGAGCTCAGTTTGGAGCCCTTGTGAACGGAAGGGGGGGGGGGGGGGGGGGGGGGGGGGGGGGCGGAGAGGTAGCATATTCACTCCCGCAGCTTGGCCTGTGTGTGTGTGTAACCCTTTGTCGAGAACAGCGCTGGAGGCGGCTGGACATATCTGTGGGATCTCAGGGTGACCCGTCCTCGTCAGGCAGAGAGAACAGAAAATTAAAGCATACAGCGAACATACAGCATACCAAAGAGGTGGGGTCTTTAAAGTTCATATTTCCACAGCGCTGCTTATCTGAAGGGCTGAGCCTTAGATATGTCAACTCTCATGCAAATAAGCATCTCTTTCTTAAAAGCTTTTTTTTTTCTGTTTTTATTTTTGTTCTGTTAAGTATATTTGACACTGCGAGAGATAGCTGAGGTTTGGGGAAATGGAGCATCAGCATCCACTTAAGGGTTGTGTCACTACATTTGCTAACAGGCAATTGCATGAAAACTGTTTTGTTTGCTGCATTGATTCACAGAGACACCTGGAGAGCCTGGAGAGGCCTACCTGCATACATTATACGTGTGAAAATGTGAGCTTCTATTATGCGTTTGTGAGCAGAACCAGAGTAACGTGTGAGCGTGTCTGAGTCTCTGCACGTCGTCTGAATGTGAAATGCTGGACGAGAACAAAGGGCAGCACCATCTTTGCACGATGTGTGTACTTTTTGAGATCTCTGGCCACTTTCATTATTCACGTTTCCCTTTGTCCACCTCTCTCCCCCCCCCCCTCAACCTGACTCTCTGCCCTTCACATCCCTGTGTTCTCGCCCAATCCTCCAGCCACCTTTTCAAGGTGATCAGGTGCTGTGTGGAAAGGGAGTGGTATTGTGTAGAGTACATTACACAGTGCAGAGGGAGCGCACAACAGAAGTCCTCTCCTGAATTCACATCCTGCACTTGAAGAGGAACTCTAACAGAATCGGGGATGAGGAGAGGCAAACACTTTTAGAACACAGAGGAGCAAAAAAACAAAACAAAGAAAAAGACAACAGTTGGCTTGGCAGCGAGTTGATATTAGCCACTTTAGTTTGGATGCATATCCCTGCCATCTTGCTTTCTCCTTAGAGCCTTACAGGTTTTCCCAGTTTGCTCAGAATCTGCAAAATAATGATCTTCCTCTCTAAACGCAGACTGGATATATCTGGGTTTATTTTTGTGTATCCCATTCATGCTGTCTCGAACATCATCTAAATGTATTTTGCTGTTTCTAAACATCATAAGTATATAGAAGCCGGGGACCATCAAAATGAAATATAATGGGGATATAATTCAGGTTGGGGACTATATGAATTTTGCATAAGGAGGTGCAATGAGTACCATGTACCATAGCACATACTGCTTAAGATTTTAGAGGCTCATGATTCAGAAATATGTGCAGGCTATCATGGCTGTAAGGGTACCCTGAGCGATATATGTAACTAGAGAATGCAATTCCTGAAGAAATTGCTAGTGGGAATGCTTTATGCTGAAAAGCTGACGCTAAACTGCTATGCTGAAATGTAATGTGTAAGAAGAAAGTGAAGAATTTAGATTGAAATGATACATGAACACTGGGGGCTTGAATGTGTGATGAGTGAAGAAAAGAAAGTAAAAAGGCTTGGAAAAGCAGCAGAATATTTGAACTGCAAACTTTTGAACTAACTTGATGGTGAATGATCTGTCGCCATGGCAACGGCAGAGAGAGAGAGAGAGAGAGAGAGAGAGAGAGAGAGAGAGAGAGAGAGAGAGAGAGAGAGAGAGAGAGACTGTGCGTGAGAGAGAGAGAGTGTGTGTCTGTGTGTTTGTGAGAGAGAGAGAGAGAGAGAGAGAGAGTGTGTGTGTGTGTGTGTGTGTGTGTGTGTGAGTATGAAATGAACAGTTAGAACTGACTGCTGTCAGTTGGAGTGATGACATAATCGTGTTCCATTACACAGGTGTTTATAGTTGAGCTAACGAGCTCTGTAGAGATCAAAGGTTTTGCATTGTTCTGAATGAGAGATAAACCTCTTACATGTGAACGTTTTGTGGAAGAACCATAACAGATATCTGTGAAATTTCAAAACGTGAAGCATGTCAAGTATGCAGACGACACAACGGTGATCGGCCTCATCCACAACAACGATGAGACGGCCTACAGGGAGGAGGTTCAGCATCTGACTGAGTGGTGTGCTGACAATAACCTGGCCCTCAACACAACAAAAACAAAATAACTAATTGTGGACTTCAGGAAATCGAAAGGCAACACACACACTCCCATTCACATAAATGGAACGGCGGTGGAGCGTGTGTCTAGCTTCAAACACCGTTCCTGGGGGTGCACATATCCGATAACCTCTCATGGTCCAACAATACCACCAGCATAGTAAAGAAGGCTCACCAGCGTCTCTTCTTCCTGAGGAGACTAAAGAAAGATCACCTCTCTCCTCAGATTCTGGTGAACTTTTACCGCTGCACCATTGAGAGCATCCTGACCAGCTGTATCACAGCCTGGTATGGGAACTGCACAATGCTCAACAGGAAGGCACTGCAGAGGGTGACGAAAATCGCCCAACGCATCATCGGTGTCCCACTCCCTGCCATCGAGGACATCCAGGGGATACGGTGTTTGCAGAGGGCGCACAACATCTTCAAAGACACCTCTCATCCTGCAAACTATCTGTTCGTCTTCCTACCCTCGGGGGGTAGGAGGACGCCTCAGGAGCCTCCAGTCCAAGACCAGCAGGTTCAGGGTCAGCTTCTTCCCCAGGGCTGTTACCCTGTTGAACTCTGCCCGATAGAGTTGATAGACTCAAGCCCATACCCACCACCCACCACCCACCACCCACCTGTTTATATATTTTACTGTCAATGCCGTTTACACTGTATAGATTAATCTGTTTATAGCCTATTTATAATTATTCTATTTATAATAATTCCATGTATAATTATTCTTATTATGTAGACTCCTGCACTGCTATTTTGCACTTCTGGTCAGATGCCAAAACTTACATTTCGTCACTAGTACATGTACTACGTAATGACAATAAAGTTGAATCTGAATCTGAATCTGAATGTCAAGGAAGTTGAGTATCTGAAGTGTAATTTTTGTGTACTTTCGGGTTAATAATGTGGCCTTTTTGGCAGTTTAAAGGGGACCTATCATGCAAAATACACTTTTGTACGTCTTTTATACATGAATATGTGTCCCCGGTGTTCCAGGGGACTCACCAAGTGTCAGAAAACACAACCCTCTCTATTTTCCTCCATACCCAAATTTCTAAAAAAGGGGCTGCAACGGATCTGATAAAAACTGATCCAGATTTGAACACTGTCCTGACGTCAGGACGGTGGCGCTACGGCTATTGGGCCAACTCCACCAATCAGGAGGAGACAGCCACGGCCATTGCCGTTCGAAAGCGCTGGAGACGCTGTAGTACATATGCCAGGCCTGTAAGTGGCGCTGTAGTCTGCCACAAAAGCAGTGAAGAAGACTTGGTTACCATGGTTACCCTTCTGTTTATTCTCCGCTGTGGCTTTCTTTCTCCCTCCCCGAGGCAAGCGTTTGCTCCCGCTGCTTTAATGCAATGCAATCCCTCCCCGTCGAGGCAAGCACTGTAATTCTCTCCGGTTAGTCCACCAGCAGATGACAAACACCCACCTATCCGCCTCTTCCAAGGAACGAGGGGACCGTGCGGCAGAGTTTCAGTTTCAGTTTCTTTCGCCGGTCAAGATGTCCGTTAAAGTTGAAATCTTCCGGACGAAATTTGAAAAGTCCCGGTCAAAGGTCTTCTTTGTTATTTATTGAGCTTTAAAACAAATGAATAACGACTCTATATAATAAAACACGGAGATCTCTTTTTCTCCCCCTCTTCTGACAGCCCAGCAGCTGATCAGAGCACGTCTCCCCTCTCCTGCAGGGGGGCGTGGTCAGCAAAATCAGACCCGTAGACAGCAAACAGCACATAGAGCGAAATGAGGCATGGCTAAAATGCATGATCTGTTTGGTATTTTGAAAACAGAAACATATAAATATACCTTATATAGGTATGGCCCTACAATATATCATTTAAATATAGCATGATAGGTTTCCTTTAACTAAAGGTGTGCGGCTGCTGCTGTGAGGAAATATCAGCCTGAAATTACAATGGGTTTTAATGGAGACATGTTGAAAGTTTGTGTCACTTCATGCCCTCAAGAGGCATTTTGTTTAATTATTTTTGCCTAATTATTTGTCATTTTTCAAGCTACGAGATGTTTTCCTACGTTTGTCATGAAAAATTATGTCTCAGGCATGTAGGGTTTGGGAATTATGGCAGTTTAAAAAAAAGATATGAAGGCAAATTTCAAGATTTCCTACCCTCTAGCTGTGACATCACGCACTCTAGTTAATGTTAAAATCTGAAGAAAGCCTCTTTACCAAGGTCTGAACAATGTTTAATATCTCTAAAACTAAGAATCAGATTTAAAAGTTGTGTTACACGAATAATGTCAGAAAGATGTGTAACATTTTAAAGTTGGAATGAGGTTTCTGAGTGAAAGTATGAATGAACAGTTAGCAGTTGAAGTCGCATGAAGATTGTTCAAGTCTGAAGATTTTCTCCATTGAAATGTGATGAATTATGGGATGTATCTCTGGAATTATGAAAGCTATGAATAATCCAAATGATAGCCATCGATTCCCGACCGAGCTGAACGTTTTGATGTTTGAACGGAGTTTCTGCGATGTTGAATGCAGGAGGAGAAGAGGTGCAAAATTCCGGCGGAATAATAATAATTTTGTCCGTAGAATAACATATAGTTGGAATGCTGTATCAGCATTCCCACTAAATAATTACACCCACAGCTACATGGCTGTCAATCACAATGACTGTAATGTTCCTTCTTAAACCTTTTATATACAGTTACCCCCCTTTACTGCATTTAAAAGCCTTCACATTTTCAGAAGACATTATGCTAGTCTTTAGGCTGCACATTTTGATCCCATTTAGCCAGTTCAAGTACTTTTACAACAGATGTGCTACATAGGTGAACGCTCTATTGGACTAGGAGTCAAGTTCAAGGCATGAAAAACAACCAAAAAGCCAAAAGCATGCTAAAATATCCAAATAAAATCACGAAGGCATGTTATCATCCAGTCTCTCTATTGAACTGACCGTTAGTCTTTTGGTGGCATCCACTTCAATCATGCCACGGAGGAGGTTCTGACAGTCTGGAGGGATGAAGTGTGGCATGTGAAACACTCCCAGCTTCACCTTCTCTAGCAGATTCCTCAGGTTGTCATCATCAAACGGCAGGGCACCCTGGAGAGACGGAGGAAAGGAGCAGAGCGTGATAACAGGGAAAAGAAGTCAAGATGTACAAATGAAAGCAGGGTGGAAAAAGTGTGCGCTAGTTCTAATGGCAGGATAAGACCAACAAATAAGCCTTCACCCGATTGAGGGCAGAAAAAAATGAGAATATACTGTAAAAGACTAACAAGGCTTGCCAGAAGAAACAAAATCACATTTTGAGTCTGAAATCCAGCACGACTTAAAGAACAGCTCTCCAATTAGAGCATTCTGCCCTCAGACATGAAGCTCAAATAAATAATAAACAACAGCGAGCTGAAAACGGGGCTTTTCTAATAATTACCAAGCTTTCTCATTTACCTCGTTCATTTAGCATTGTGAGCTGATACCTCACAGATGTGGCTGTTTGATGAATGACAACCTCAAACACACTAGACAAGATGGAGGGGGAGAGAAAGAGGAAAAGGGGGAGACAGACAGAAAGAAAGGCTGAGAAATGAAGAGTGGTAGAGGGGGGAAAGGCAGGCTTGTGTAACAGATGATCTTGGCGCATCCTAACTACTGGGGAGTATGCACGTCTCCCACAATCAGACAAATGGCTATCTCGCAGCCAGACGACAGGACCAAACAGGAAGAAGACAATATTCATCTGCAGTCAAACAGTGTTGGGAGAAACTTTTGTTTTGTGGGAGAAAAGTACGGTCATAATGGAGATAACGGTGAAAAAACATCAGGAAGACTGTCCTTACACAAAAAAAGACTGAGTGAGGGAGAAAGAGGCACAAAACAAAGACAAATACACAGGGCCTGTGGCCAAAAGCTGCCATGTCAGCATTGGTATTTATTTTGGGCTCTCTTCTTTCAATTTGGTTGTATGAATTATTCATTGGGCAGGAGCGTGTAGGAACTACAGTACAGCTGTTGATGAAACAAAGCTTCAGGGCTGCATGGCGGGAGAACCGCAGTCATAATGTCGCTTGAGAAAAGACATGATTGTGGATACAGCATTGTGTGTATACAGGGTAAAAAATAAAAAGATGGACTACTCTCTGATCCTTGTTACGCAATCATTTTAGCTTGAGGATAACTTTTTTGTTTGAGGCTCTGTGGCACTCACACCATTAAGGTCAACCTCGAGTCAACAGCATTAGTGCAAAGTTGGGAAAATCCTGTCACGGGGCTCACTTGCTTTCTACTTTGGATCCATTACAGCTGCTAGAAAGGCTGGACATACTGTCTGGCTATGAACTGGAGGCAACACTTAATGATTAAATTGTATTATGCCATTTTTCTCTGGAGAATTTCTAACTCGTATGTCAAAAAAGAGCTAACACTCACCACCAACAGGGCAAAAAGGATGACCCCACAGCTCCAGACGTCTGCTTTCCTCCCGTCATACTTCTCTCCCTGAGGGCCAGAGAGTGTTTGTTAGCGGGTGAGGGCGGTGTGATAGGGTGAGCTGAAATAAGATGACACGCAATGATGAAAAAGAAAAGCAAAATATGATTCAGTGAAAAATGACTCACCCTGATGACTTCTGGACAGGCGTAGTGTGGAGATCTGATCGGAAAACAGAACAAAAGTGAATGAATTGAGAAGTAAGAGAAAGTAGCAGTAGGTTATTTAAGGGCGTGTGCTGTCCTGGAAAGTAAGTCAGGGTTATAAAATGGCCATAGCATACAACAAAGTTATACACAACTGTATACAATTTGATTTAAACAATATAGACAGATAATAAATGCCTCAAGTGAGCGTATCTCAAGATGTGCTCGAGGAGTCCAGACATCCTGAGGGTGTTTGGATGTCCTCCTGCTTGCTCACTCAAGGGCATCCTCTCACAGCAGACAGTGAACAGACCCACTAATCTTTACTGCACCTGGATGGGCTGACAGTAAACCCAATGACTAGATTGACACATCAATATCGTATGAAGATTTATGAAGCTACCTCGCAACGTCTGCTTTATAAGCCACCGGTTACGAGAGGCTCTGGAGTGAATTATTATTCTTTGCATACACAGTGGCACTTTTACAGTACTTGCCAAATTCAGTCCCTTGAAATAAAAACAGAGAATAATAAGGGTTTAGCATCAATCTGAAATCAAATACCACTTCAGCTACAGGATGTTTCTTTGTTTCTCTGATTATGGGCAGCTCTACTTTTCTCAAAATGCAAGCGACTGCAAACAGAAAGCAGATCAGGCACCTGTCTCCCCCAAACCTCTCAGCCTGATGATACGTCCTCCGCCTCTCGCTCAGTCTAATCTAACACCAGGATATTTGGCTCTAATGAGAGACTATCTGAAATCTGTAAACATGGCGCCCATTAGCTCGGCTGTTGTCTTGTGTACTCATGAATACGGGCCCTGACGGCGCGGCTTCCTCCGGCTGTCAAAATACCGACCGATTACAAACACTGCCGCCATGTCACCAAGGAAGCTCAAACACGAGCAGCCTATGCAAATACAGCCCTCCTGATTGCAAGTGTCATAGTGCATTATGCAGATGAGCGAGGAATAAAACTAAGAAAAACAAGCCTGAGATTTACACTAGTTAAGCCTTGTGTGTGCCACTGCACACGAGCCACAACTGGAGCCAGCATGAATATAAACTAATTATTTGCAGGGCTTAAGGTGGCAAACACAGTGTGAAGGTGCATACTGTAATACAAGAAGCTGAGCTGAATCCTAATTGGTCAATATTAAAACACTAAATCAGTCAGTCATATCAACTACAGTATTTGCTTGGATAAACTCATCTTTAACTCATAATTATATGGCTAACTTTTTATATATGTCCAATTATGTCATCTTTTAAACTCTTCCACACTGCATACTCTTAAAATCCATTATCTATGGGACTCTTTAAGTCGTTTGGTGCAGGATCCATGAGTATTCATGACACTTCCTTCCTGTTGTGCTGTATCTGCATTTAATGGCGTAACTTAATTAGAGGTGTAAATAAAGTTCCTTTAAATGTATCCTAGCTTACCACATTTAAATTCTGACCACATATAAAAGCACCATACATCATGAAATTCATATGATGATAAAAAATTCCCTTGCTGCTCTCACTAGAAATTCAGATTATAGACGGGGATACTGAAGATAAATAGAGAGCCGTAAGAGCCACTTCCCTCGGACCAGAGTGAAAAATGCAGTCTTCTGAAGAACAGTTGTGCGTGGGTTGACAAACATCAGTCTTTTCTTGCTCATTGACTCTCTCAACCTAACACCAGTAACATCATATAAATAGCATTAACAGACAGAACAGCGGTATTCTGAGGGCAACACAGACAGAGCAGTGGGACAGAGTTTTGCTGCAGTCCCCAACAGAATAAAGAAACACATTATTTAGTGACCTGAGATTGTTTGCGAGCAGTGGGGAAACTAAGATGATAAAGATGCATGAAAAGCTGTCTTCATCTACAGTGAAGGGCTCATGAGTGTCAGAGTGTTTGCAGAGAGATATCTGGACCAAAGAAAATCACCATTAAAGAGGCCCTATTATGCCTTTTTTTAGGTTTTCCCTTTCCTGTTATTTCAGAATCAGAATCAGAAACAGAATCAGAATCAGAAACAGGTTTATTGCCAGGTAGGTTCACACATACGAGGAATTTGACTTGATGTCATGGTGCAGACATAAAATATAAAACAAGACATCTAATATAAAACAAAAAATCTTTAAGGACACCGTAATAAAATATAGTTAAATGCCCTGTGTTATACAGGTTTGTGTGCATGTAAATGGTCTTCAAAAGGCCTAAATCCCAAAGTCCAGGCCAGAGGAAGTTTCTCTTCCACCCCCCCCCCCCCCCACCTGATACGCCTCCATTGTAGTCCTGTGTACACTCCATCGTCATAGTGACATTACTATGTAACAATAGCGCTTCTATTGGCTAGCGCTCTAAACCTTTGTACGTGATAGGCTAAGGGGTGGAATAACCAACCAACCAATCAGAGCAGACTGGGCTCGGGTTTCAGACAGAGGGTGAAAATACAGTATAAAGGCAGTATGAAAAGAATAAAGGCCTTTTTGAAGCTTGTTAACATGTCACAACAATAGAGGCGCTAAATACAAATACTATCCTGAAGATTAGCGTGTGGGACCTTTTGAACTATAAGATGACCATGTCTCTAACAATATACAGTACTGTCCCATTTGCTGTAACAACATACTGTAAATGTCCCTGCGGTGGCACACATCAAGCATTTCTGATTTCTGATTACATTGAGTGCAGATTAAAAGACAGTATCATGAGATCAAGAGATACAAGTTCCTATGGAGCAGTTAGAGAGCAGCATGGGTCGACAACATTGAAGAGACATTGAGACATGCAGCTCATCTTTATTAAAAAGCATATTTTCAAACCAAATGTGCCCCTCGCTGTTAACCACATCATTTCATTTCATCAATCAGAGCAGCAGCGCTAAACAAACAGCGAGCGCTGATGAACTCACAGACGGAGAAGGATGTTGTACGCAGGATCCTGGATCCATATTTGTATGCGCTTGCCAATGCTTCTCCTTGTCTATACGTGTGTGTACGACTGCATGCATTTATGTATGTGCTGCGAGGCTCCCCTTACTCTACCTGGGGCGAGTCTCATCTTCACTCAGCTCCATTACCCGTGGCAAATGGAATACATTTGTGTCAGACAGCTGCATGGTGAGAGGGGGCCAGATAAATGTGTTTAATTAAAAACTGTCATATCTACACTTAGAGATGGGACAGTCAGAAGAGCATGAATAATCAATAACCACACACACAGCGCAGCATGCGGTGATGGAGCTGAGAGTGGAACAAACACTGAACTACTTCGCTTGGCTGTGTGTGGGAGTGTGGGGGTCTGTGTCTGCATCAGTAAGACGCAGTTTTGAGTTCCCAGCAGCAACAAGTAGCTTCAGCTCTTTGTAAACATATATAGAATAGAATGGTCACACATGCAGAGCACACAGCACACACAGTGACATTTGTTCTCTGCTTTTAACCCATCCTAGTACCAGGAGTCTAGTACTAGGAGCAGCTATTGTACAGCGCCCGGGGAGAAATGGGAGTGGGGGGGGGGGGGGGGGGGGGGGGGGGGGGGTATCCGGTGCCTTGCTCAAGGGCACCACGGCAGGGCAGGAGGTGAACTGGGACCTCTCCAAGCCCCTACTGACTGAGCCACTGCCGGACCTGACTGAGCCACTGCCGGACCAATATGGGGGGCTAATCAGATTCACTGCACCTGCAGAATGCATTCAAATATTTATTTTTATGGATTTGTTGAAATGTTCATTTTATTTGACTAAAGAACAAGTAATAAAAAATAGATACAAAAAATACATGATTTATTTATATATTTAAAATGTTTTTAAAAAACTAGATCAACTATGTGGTGCATATCCATAACCTACTTAACACCAAAAAACATAAATAATAAATGAAAAGAATATATAGAACATGTTAGACCAAAATAAATAGAACCAAATATGCACTGCCGCAATCTGCTGAAAACTCTTCGACATATATTCCATATTTTAATTAGATTTATTCAACATATTTCAGTAAGTCAGCAAAAACAATGAGCAAAAACCCAACACTAATGATAAGGCACGTCATAATTGAAAGTCAAAATCGTGATGAAACACGAAGCAGATTAAATCACCTAGCACACAAAAAGCTGAGCAAGAGTTGACACATTATGTGGCCTTTCTAGGAAAAGGAAACACTTCAGTGCAGTCATCACGGCTGCAGAGTGACTCAATCCTGCATATTCTACTTGCAGATAGAAAACTGCTCTCAGTTGGCCTGAACTCTACTGATGAGTCATGAAAGCTTAGGCACTGCGCTTCTGCTGGAAAAATTATGCAACAGTTTCGCCTGCATGCTTGTGTGTGTGCGTGCACAAGCTTAATGTGCATGTGTGTATTATAGAGAGACAGTCTGTGACATAGAGAGACAACCACAGAAGGGGAGGACAATGGGTCCTCCAGGTCAGGGATGAACTAAGCCTTACCAGTGCTGTGTGCACATGTGTGTTTGCAGAATTGCGTGTATTCAAGTGTGTGTAATTTCAGGTCAGCTGATTTGGAGATATAATCTGGACAGAATCAGGTCTGAGCTGGGGACAGATGTCACAATGGCCTCTTTCTATAGCCCAGCCCACAGTGACACAGTAAGACATCAAGATCACAAAAAAAGACCCCATTTAGATTTACAGGTCCATGTGATACCAACACAGCATTTCTAGACGTCCATTATGTTTCTTTTCACTGTGAACCTTCAAAGATGAATCAAAGCTCTATGTTCCACTAGCTGAGCAATCCTGTTTTACTTCGGGCATACAGTACAAGGCTTCATTAGGATGGGAAAATAAAACAGAGAACTGGCTGTGCTTTGTGTTGACATCTCATTTCCAGTGTGAATTTCAGGTAAGTGAGGGGGAAATAAAACTCGAAGGAGAAAAATCCTTTTGTGCCACGGTGGAATCTTCAGTTTATAAACAAGTACGTAAAATTCAACTACCATCATCAACTGAATTGTTATTTTTTGTTTTCCCCTTTGCACTGTGCTTCAGAGTTGAATATAAACACTCCCACGACTTTGAAAAGTGACTTTTCCTCCAAGCGAATTCATTGCGGTCGTTGTGGGATTGATGGCGTTGTCGTGACTGCCGGATCATAAAACTCTTCTTCAGGAATGAGGAGCTGGAGAGCAGTAATGTGTGTCCGTTGCCCCGCTCACAGCCAGACAGCACTCTGTGTGAGAGCCACTGACCGTCTCCCTATGAGAGATCAACCCTGCCCGATAAACACGCGCTGCAGAATGCGGCACCTCGCAGAGGGCTTGATAGGTCCACTCATCATTCTCTACTGCTCCTCTACTCTCCTCTCCGTCTCTCTGTAGCATACCAGCAGCTCCATGCGCCCTCCAACTATGACCTATTTGTACCTTCAGGATATCCATTTGCAGAGTATGTGAGTCAGACATTGCATTAGAAAACATGCATCACGTTGATTTCTGAGTCACTTACCCGCAGCTGGTTTCCAACAGACTGTCTCCAACCTGAAGGGAGGCCATGCCGAAGTCTGCTATCCTGATGTTGTTCTTCTCATCTAGCAACAGGTTCTCCGGCTTCAGATCCCTGTGGCTGAAAGATAGTGAGACAGAATCATAAAAGAGTTAATGAAACATGAAGGAGCTCATCATAGGTTTTATAAACTAAAGACACGAGGGAAAACGAAAAGCAAGATCCATCGAACACCTGCGGATCGAGCAAGGATCCACATCCGCGAGTGCAACTGTGAACAACTCTTTAGCTGTTCCCGGCGCCCCCCTCCTCTGCAACAGCTCTCTCTTTGATCGGTCCATGCTGGAGCTAGGGGGCTCACACCTCAGCGCTCGGCTGGTACGAGGTGTGACAGCCCCCTGCTGTGTCCTTTCTCCTTCTGCTTCCCCCCCTCTTCGCCTCTCATCTCCCAGACAGCCACCAGCAGACTGGCTGAGCAAAGGGGAGCCGGCCACAGAGGTTGTGTTCATTAGCTGCCATTCTTTTCCGCTAAGAACAGTGTGGGGGATGATATCCAGCGGACATTGTATCGCTTCTTAAAAGGGACTATTGAGAGGATCATCATATCACATAAGCTGTTGCTGTGTCAGAGGTTAACATCTCAATTGTTAATAGAAACAATAGCCTTTTATCGTGTAGTTAACACCCTTGATGGGGTGGAGGTTTGTATAAATTCACACTGTGAAACACCATGCATTTATACATAAGTATGTGTGCACACACTGATATCCATCTTGTTTTACATTCTTACTTACAGTATGTATATACTTGCTTACCTCTAAACTAATAGAGCCAAGGGGCAGGCAGGATTTCATGAACCTGACTTTGTTCTTGTCTTTATACTAATGATAATAAGGGGAGAGCAACAATAGCTGGTTGCCTCAGCCTTTGAAGAGTGCCTCATCACAATGGACGTTTAACCTCAGATGACATCAGCTGCTTTACAACTCGTTTCTTGTCCTGGGGGATAAGCTGTCAGCTGGTTTATTATCACAGTGGCAGTCTGTGTGATCCCTGCTTTAATTGAAATAAAACAAAGATAGCATCTAAAACAGTTCTCCCCAGGCTAAAACCTTTATCAGTTCACACGTGCCACCATTTGGCAGTGAAGTCAGGAGCCTCGTCATTTTTACTAATACTGTCAAAGCAAAGGAAGAAGGAACAAACATGAACTGCTAAGGGGCCACCGGTGTGAGGTGGTCCTGGGAGTCAGTATCTTTTCAACACGTGTCTTAGTCAACATTCCTGATAAAATATTCCTTTTAAACAATTATATTTCTCCTGGCAACTAAATATTTTACATGGCTAAAAGTTACAAATCCATTGTGACTGGAGTTTACACATGACAAAAGATCCAATAGTAACTTTGTAGACATAGGGGTGGATCGCAGGGCCAGAAGGCAGTTTAACAATTTGTTGTGGCACCAATGACACAATAAACGGCAATGACGGCTCTGACTGTGTCTTTTTTCTGACACAGTGTTCCAACATTGTTGACTATTAGCATCAGATAACCTGCTGATCATCACAGACCCCAATCTAAGAGCCACAGCCTCAACGGTCATAAATATCTAAGTACAATCCAACTGTCAGCCTCAGATTCATAAATGCACCCTAAATCATTAAATAAATGTCCCATAAACATGGCATTAACATTGTGTTATCACAAAAATCACATATAAAACACAAAGAGCCAAACCCCAAAGGACTGTTCCACAACAGAAAAAAGGCAACAGCGTGTTTATCCAGCAGCATCAAGGGGACAAATTGCATCTGGATGCTTTATTGGTTGTCAGGACCCTGTTATCCATAATAGGACATTAAACTGCCTCTCTGACACATTAGGCTGCAGTTTGCCACTGTAATCTCGCTCACACAGCAGGCTTGCACCGGAGACGTCTGTTGTGTCTCATATGTCATAGAGGAGGAGACGCGGTTAAACAAATTCAAAAGCAGCAATGAGCATAAATGTAACGTTTTTCTTTCCAGGAAATCGTAACTATGCACCACTAGCAAGTCTTGGATGAATGTTTTTTTTGTAATACAATACTCTGTGATGACTGCATATAATTGTTATCACTATAGGGGAACATACAGTATATAGTACATGAAAAGAACAGAACAATAAACAGGGGCCACTATTATTTAATGCCATCATGTTATACATTTTCTTAAACAATACACATGTGATTGTACTACCTTGAACATAGCCCATAATTCACTAGGCACTAATCTCTTGTGATGCCATTCAGTGTAATTTACAGGGCGCACATGCGTGTCTACATGCTGTCTGAGCAGGGTTCAGACCCCAGTGGGGCTATTAGACATGACTCCTGCTATTTAACACCAAGCCCTTAATGCTTGTGATCATTTGTACATATCATGCTGATATGTTCTGTTTTACAGAGGGTTGTAATCGGTCTGTTCTCTCTGGGCTCACATCCCTATAACATTCGAGACATGTTTATGGTGATGAGCAGTTTTGCTTAACTCTCCAGCCAAAGGAAAATATACTTTTCCCATAGTGACACATTCACATTCACCATGTTTAATAGAGCCTGTGTTATCGCAAGATATGTGGCACTAATTAGCTAAAGTGAAACAGTTGAAAATAACGGTAATGGCTGAAATGCATCTTTTTGACATATTAACATGCCTGGGAAAAAGCACACCTGTTTTCTTGCATTTTCAAGGGCTAAAGCTGTCCTGGTACCATTATTGCTAGCTGAAGTGGGTTTTTTAAGCATCGTTGTGAGACATTTAGCCTCGGGCGCACCTCTGTGTAATTTATTCTCTTTTAATCTTTCCTTTTTTCTCTAGAACTTTTTTAGGCTTCTGTTGACCCAATTAGAGAGAGACCAAGCACACTCAATGAAAACACTTTAGGCTAATATAATAACACATTAGCAAAATAGGACAACATTCTGACTGCTGACTTGATGTGCTAGGCACAATCGTTCATTAGCCGATGGGGTTAGTATCGTATATTAGGAGCAATGAGGGATGAGAAAGATTAAGTTGTCTTTTTCCCCCTTTTCTGCTGGCTAATGGAATTGGTCTTTTTCTGCAATTTTGCTCAAAGCAAGTGTTCGGTGAATGTGATTCTATGCTTTCTTATTCTGTAGTCAAGTAGCCAAGTTAATACCGCATTTGGAATTTATGTATTTAGGTTCAGATAAAAAGAAAGGACAGGTGGATACGGGTAAGTGGTTACTAAAATACGTTGTTTATCAACAAAATATTTAGCAATATATTTGTTAACAGTAAAATAAATGTAACAGCTGAAATGCAGCTGATGATAAACAGTCCCCTGTCCACTGTTCTATCCATTAGTTTATGGTGTTCTTTCATATAATAAATATTCCCTGTGAAAATCATTAAAATACCATATTTAATATGCTCACATTGCTTCAAAATCCCACAAAGCAACATAAAAACAAGAAATGGTCATTTAACAAGGATCCAAAGCTCTGAATATTGTATGATGGTTTTATGACACACTTTATTGTTCATTATATTCTGAATTTCAATAAGTCAATGAAATAGCCATTTCCAATACAGACCCATTTTTCCTTAAGGAGCACATTTGAAGCTGTTTTCTAACATCATATGTCATTCGGGCACAAATTATAGCCAGGCTCTTAGTGCCTGTTTATACTGGGGCCCCCTTACATTTAAGCAGTCTCCTGTCATAAGATTTGCATTTAAACTGGATTAGTATTGAGAAGAAGGCACACAGCTATCTTTTATTCACAAAATGTGTCTCTCGAGTAAGAGCGTCACATCTTGTGCCATCTGGGGCATTTCTATCTATTCCTCTGGGGTTTTGAGCAACACTGGGGATGTAATGCATTGTTGCATCTAGTGCAGTGAGTCAAATGTGGGATTACAATGATGGCTAGTTTTGTAATAAACAAACTATTTGCTTTGTTGTGCTAAATCTGTGTGTGCATCCCAGCGTTTGCTCCTAATCCAGAGGAGTTTGACAGAGGAAGATAGTGTGAGCAGCAGAGCTTCAAGGCAGAATAAACAGTGCTGTCAGAAAAGCATTGGAGTGATAGATATTAAAAAGCCAGAGCAACATCAGGCCTCCAATACAGACCTGGGGTGATGTGGTTAGGGACCATTGTGCCTGTTCGAAATGTGAAAATGCTACACTTTCCCTTACAAGCCCATAAAAGTAATGGAAATCAACCTATAACTTTTGTTCTTCCTTCTCAGCTCCACTTCCTACAAACATTTTAGCCATCCCATTTCCACCTCCTCTCCACATCAACTTTCCTCCTCTGACCACTTACATTTCAGTGCTTTAACTGTCTCTGCGGGAGAGGTAATTACTTTCGAAACAATTTGAAAAGACAAGGAGAGAAAGAGAGGGAAAAGATTTGTATTGTGTTGTTAGCGACCATCAGCCGTAATGATGATAGGCTATAAGTACAGGCTTTCTGCGGGAAGCAGACAGACAGACTGTCATCTGGGGAAACTCTCCTAAGAATGTCAATAAACACAGCCACAAACAGCCACGAGGGCATTGGCTGCAATTGATAGAGAAATGGACGCGCAAAGAATGGACAATAACAAATAGGGCAAGCATGAACTGCATGTCGTATAAAGATTACAATCGATTAAATAAGACGACAGACAGAACACTAAACTATTGCAGAGCACATGACCAGATACCATGATTAAAAGACTGTCAGTCAAACCTCAGACTAAAACAATGTAGAAAACATGATGGAAATGTTGCATCTACATGTGTTTCATGTAATAATAAGAACGGCTATAGTCTCAGTCCTCATACACCTGCCATTATTGTGTTGTGTAGCAAGACAGTAAAAGGTAGGTTTGGATTATGCTACATTGTCTCTACTTCAATATGTGGTTGTCTCACTAATATTGGATTTAAGTTTTTATGAATCAAATGTAAGGAAATACCTTAATTTTTCAATTGTGAACCAATTGAACCCACTCTCATCTGAATATTCTAAAAGGCCACATAATATGAAAAACTAACTTTTTCAGTGCTTATGCATTTTCATCTAAAGTGCCAACCCTCAAACTGTGAAATAAGACGACCCTGTCCGTTTGTTGTTGGCTAATCGTCAGAAAACAATGGATTCAACTAGCCATTCAGATGTGGCTCCTCTTCCAATACCACTGTATCCCCACTCTTGGCTTGAGAACTATCTTTGTAAAAGTGGTCCATATTTGTCACCATAAGTGATGCTATATACAGATGCATGCGGCCCTCTAAGCCCCTGAAAGAGAGGAGTTTATCTAATGACGGAGGGGGAGTGTGGGAGAAACAGAGTGAGAGAGAAAGGTGGATTTGGATGGTGTGGATGATTATGCCGCTGCGTGGGCTTAATGTGACTCCTGGACCAGGTGTTTGTTTGTGCACATGTAGGTGGCGGTAATAATCAGTGTCAGGAATGTGTGTGTGTGTGTGTGTGTGTGTGTGTGTGTGTGTGTGTATGTGTGTGTGTGCGTGTGTGTGATGAAGCTTTAGGGACAGGGTTCTTTTCCAAGGTTCACGAGCAATCTCTGCTGTACTTGGTGGGATGCTTGGAGTCACTTTATGTGACAGATAGTCTTTATCTCTCACCCACACACACTCGCTTTGTATTGAACACACAGACAGGGCTGTTAACAGGGTCACAAGGGGAAAGACCAAAGTCATTACTAAGCAAACTGGACAGGGGTTAGGTAGAGGACAGTGTGCTGCTGTGATCGGGGGGAAATTGTTTTTAAAAGTTTGTTAGCTTATGTCCATGCAAAGAAGTACATCTCTGTTTCACACCATATGACACGATGCAATGAGGGTGGATAAAATGTGGCTGGATACAGGAGTGTTTTTGGGGTCCTCCCTGGCTCTTTCGACCTCTACTACTGGTGAAGCTTTAGAATCACACAAAAATAAATCAATACAATATACTTTTATTGCTCACATGAGAATAGAAACCTTGTGCATTTATTACAGAGAATCAGAGCATACAATGCTTTTCCGTGGTAAATTGTACTCAAAAGGCAATTTCTTTTTAAATATTGACAAATGCTGTTCAAAATTACCTTTCATCATCTGTTAGTTTAGCTGAGTAAAAAAAGCCGAAGTGTTCAAGGTAAATACACTTTAGTATTTTCAATCAGTCTGTGTCTCTTTTGGGTGTGTGCAGTAATGGCAGACTGCCACATCAGGTACTCTGTTTAGTGTAGTAGCAGATGTGAGTTTTGTTAAATGTCAAACTAACAAGATACAGGTGAAGCTGCTGTAGGGAATCTATCTCGAGTAAACATGATAGTGAATCATCTGCAATAATAAACTACATCTGTAAGGCATCCACTTAGTTAGTTTGACCTTGAGACCTGAATCTCATGCAGCTTGAGGAGAGCTGTTCTGAAGCTGACCCTGACATTTAACATCGCTGCAGGTGCAGGGGACTGAAAGAGAACATTTCACATTGATAAATAAAATATACATCATCATGTGGGTTGTGGACTGTCAATCATCTGCTCTGTATCTGAGGGATACATTGCAGATCTGAAATGTGTTCAGACTTAAGAAACAGTATCCAAATACAGTACATGTAAAGTACAAGTAGACGAGGGGGGGGGGATTGACACTGGATTTATGTTAGCATACAATGAATAGTATCTCTCGCTATACATTCATTATACATTTATCTTACTGAAGAATCCTTTCCCATTCCTTTTTTCTTCCACCCTCAGCTATCTTTGCCTCATCTCCCTCGTCAGCTTTCCCCATGTGCTTCCCTTTGCTTTTCGTCTACTTCTAAAAGAAAACCCTGCCTAAATCAGAGCGAGGAAACACTGAGTCACAAACAGCCTTCTATGCTCTTTCATTCATATCCTCGCTCACATCCATCTGGCTCAAGAGAGATATTTCGGGATGTGACGTGGGCGGAGGGCTGAAGCATGAGGCAGTGAGAAAAAGTGCAAATGGGAGGTGTACAGAAGAGGAGGGTTGAGGAGCATGTGTTTACCCCACGGTGAATCATGGAGAGAGAGAAAGAGCACTTCTAATGGCCTGTGAAGGTCTCATACGCAGACAAGTAGAAACGGAAGAAAAATATTTCAGGAATGCTTTTTTATTGAGGGGATGCTGGGATCTCATTAGTGGAAATGGAACCGAGGTGAGAAGGGCTGCATCTGTCAGTCTCTTTGCCCCTAATTGAGGTTAGGAGGAGGGCGAGTGGGTGCAGTAACACTCCAAAATAATCCCCCTCTCATGATAACTTTACAAGGCATCATTCTCTACGTGTGTTCATCAGGAGATTTGAGGAGCTAAAACGGAGACAGCAGGAAAGCAAATCATGAAGGAGCAGATAGATCTACTCCTGAATGTTACTACAAAAGAACTGCGATAATCTATGTATGTGCATGCACTTAATGTCAGTCCCAGGTGCTTTCTTTTAATTGGCCTAATCTGTTCTTCTCACAGTCAGTTATTTACACACACTGAAAAAATACCTATATCTTTCATTCCCTTTGGAAGGACAGTTTTGTTTTTACCAGCGGTACAGAGTTGTCTTCTGTTTTTTTAATTATCTCTGAGATTTCAAATGGACTAACTAACCCTTTAATATTCAAAGAATAAAATGAAAACCCAAGATAATAACTACATTATAAATGTATTAGGATATAGGAAATTGTACTCTGCATAACAGGCCCCGACATAGCTTTGCTTTGAGCAGCAGCTACAATGAATTTCATCGCCTCTCCTATACTGTGCAAAATACAAAGCATATCACATCACTGAAATTCAACCATACCTATTCAATCCATGACACATTTCTTAAACGTTTGCCCGAGCAACATCATGCCTGATTAACTCCCAGACATTAGGTGCTCTACATCCGGTTATTGGGAATATTACACCATTAGTGTTTTTAACAGGCTTAGTATCCTCTTCATCATCAGCAGGGAGCTATTCAGGAAACATTTAAGTATACTAAACTGCAGAGTGGTAAAGTCTCTCTCTCTCTCTCTCTCCAGCACTTTCAGCTACAATAGCCTTTGTACAAAAGTTATGATGGAGTCACATAAATTATCATCACAAGTGGCTGGCTGGCTGGCCAGCGTAGTCCCACATCATAAAACCCTCTCTGGTCATGGCCGGTCTGGGCCACAGCTGTGGCAAGGCTTTATGTTGATATCTTAATGTCTGATCTGAGGCCACGGCCTGCAGATATTATATCAGTGTGAGTAGCAAGGAAACAAGCTTATACTGAGCTGCATAACGACCATGCTTGAATGCTTAGTGACCTCAAATTCTATTAAAAATGCAATACTGCATAAAGTAAAAAAGCACCCTTGATATGGGAATCACAGAGAAAAACTCTAATGTGAAAGAAATCCGTCCACCTGATAATGGCTTTTATAAAATCTAGTAAAGTAAAGTGCTGGAAAGTCATATCAAACAGCTATAGGATAGAAAAGTAACAGTATGAATTGTTACAAGTATAGCCATACAAAAGGAACAAGCTTTATTGTTACCATAGAGTACAAATGATTGTTTCACCTAGCATCTACTATATACCATGGTTAGCCTACATGAATCTTAACATGTTAATAACATTTTGAATGTCATATTTCAGTGTTTTTCCCCCTGTTTCTATGAAGCTGTTTGTGACCAAGGTAAAATAAATAAACTTGAACTAATTCTGCTCTATGGTCCTTGTGCTCCGCTATACAGGGAAATGGGGACAGAATGCAGAGGCACACACTCTCTGGAGAAGCAACAAAAACATGTCTACTTTAGGAACACAAACTGATGTAAGAAACACACACACCAACACGCACAAATGAGCTCTCTAAATCAGTCCCCGCTGACATGTTTGACTTCTGAAGTATATGATTGCCTCAAGTCTGTGAGCTGGTAAACAGTTAAATTACTCCCTGAAGCCAAAAACAATGCATCACATTAGTGAATACCTTGTAGCAGATTTCAACAAATACAATGACTCAACACTGAGCTGAGCAAAGTAAAGAAAATGCACTGTGTACTAAAAAAAAGTCACTTCTGCTCAGCTTTAAAAAGAATAACTGAGGACGTTATGTGGAAAAGAAGTGAACCATCAATATTTCAACCTGCACTACACCAAACTATAAACTATATAAAGACATTATTTTCCCACATTAGGCAATACATGTCTACATGTATTTGACTCTTACTATTTGGCACGTGTAAACTATTATCAGCTGTTTATGTTAGATGTTTGAAGATAAACTTAGAAAAAGAGTTCAAATAAATGTGTTGATACAAACAATTTCCCGTTCTTAATTCTGTAATCTCCATATTGAATCATTGGTTTGAACGATAAACAGCCTTTCAAAGCTATGAATAAACTGATTTGAATTTAGATGAATCTGTAACATTTTTTGAATTCTTTAGATGGGAGCTCATTATCTGTTCAATGTTGTATGACAACCAATTTGACTTTGTAACACCTCCTGGGTATGTTTGTTTATTGGAGATGTGATTGATTTATGCAAATAATGAATGCGTTTCTTGTGGTTTTAACCCAACATACCTCCGAAATGTGGGAAGCATGTTAAACTTGAACATATTAGAACTGCACTGTGAGTCTTCTCTATTGTACTACAATGATATAAGTGTAACTTTATACACGTACCTTTTAAAAGTATTTTAGAAATTCAGTGGTTTTACCGGCACACTTCCAACAGTCTAATATAAACATTCACAACTAATGTATAACTAGCAATTACTACAAAATGTGTTTTCCAAGCGGATCATTTCACTTACCATATGGAATGACTGTGGCAAAAATCCAGGGCAGACATGATCTGTCTGAAGAATTTCCTTGCCTCTTTAGGTGTTAACCTGCCTTTCTTCACCAGGTAGTCAAACAGCTCACCACCAGACACATGTTCTAGCACAAGGTACCTTAGAGGGAGACAGAGAAAAGAAAGAATCAGTCCAAGAAATAAAGATGAAAACAAGAAAAAAAGCAGTCGAAAAGAAACTCACACATAGAAAATAAAGATCTAACTTACAGGGACAGGAACAAATAGCTGTGTTCTCCACAGAGCCATCTGAAAGGGCCCTAAATAATCAGAGAAATCTCCAGATCTCAGAGGTCTGGTGCAATACGGGAAAATAGTTCCCTTACAGCTGTTATACACAAACAAAACACCCAGGATCAATGATCTGCTCTCCCATATCATATTATGTTGACAGTTTATTTTTCATTTTTTCATCTGTTAGCTGTCCCTAAAGTCAAAGATTGAAGCATGGCAAGAGTGTATTGCATTATATGTGAAGGGTTGTGATATACTATACAGTCCAATGGGAGGCATGATAAAGTTGCATTACACTAGAGAAAGATGGAAAGGTTGTGTGACACGCTCTAAGACATAAGGGCTTTAGGAGCTTCTGCAAATGTACACACAATGTTAGCATCTGTGACAGCTTTTGTTTTAGAACTTGTGTAAGAGAGAAAGAGAAGAAGGAGAATGTATATATATTGGGTAAAAAGCCCCTGCTATACCAACCCGGTATCACGGGAAGACGTGAAAATGTCTACGTATGTTACTAAAGAGGTTTTAGATTGGCCGTAGTATATATACATTTCCCTGGTGAGACCTGAAAAAATCTTCGTATTCTCCACAAAAAGTGTTGTTATAGTGAACCAAAAGTCGTGATAGAGGCTTGCTTGTCAACATCCGGGTATTTCTCTAATGGTGGGCCATGTTAACAATCCCGTGTAACTGTGAAGTTTTGAGGGGGTGAAATCGTGTCATCCTCCTGACGTCTCCCAGTGTGGACCAACGTTTTCACATCTTGCCATGATACCGGGTTGGCTGTATAACTTGTGTTGTAATTTACTTTTATTTGACGTTCCCCAAACAGGCCTCAACACACAATGTTCCCTGCCATTAGATTTCTTACAGCCATTATTCAGGTGGCCTTGAGTCTGTGTGGCTGCTCATGTGCAGGAGACAGTCTGTTCTGGGCTCCAAGGGGACAGGAAGGAGATTAATCTCTCACCGCTGGCCCAGACCTAAAGCTGCGTCTGCGGGCTGAACGCCAGCGGTGCCGTGCCCCTGCCCCGCACCAGGCTGATCGTATATCCTGTGCTGAATCTCCCTCTATCTTCACTAGGACAAATTGAAACCCAGACAGGCGGTGAAATACTCTCTCTCATCTCTCTCTCCCCCTGCTGTGGACATTTGTGTCTACATGCAACTCTTCAGTTTTATTGATTACACTACAGTGTTGCAGACTGTACTCGCCCACTTAACAACCTCAAAGCCTAAGCGCTGGCTATTGGAAAACCTCCATAGCTTTGGCACAAAAAACAACGACTACACTTGGTGAACACATATCAATACTTTAAATTAATTCAGAATCAAGTACTTCAGTTTCCCTATTTTTAATATGTTTGCAGCACAATAAAGTCGCACCCTACTGATTTGACTTGTCAAAGTCAGTTTACTGTTCACCACTTGAGACTGATGATTCAAACTCTAATCATACATTTGATGACTTTGTAATTCATTTTGGCTTGAGACTTTTAACTTGAAAGTAAAGTTTTATGTGGCTCCAGAAGGGAGATTTCTAGGAGTTGTTAAAAAAATGAACATGGTATATCACCAGAGGTATCTCAATCGAGAGATTACAAATGAATATTCTGAGTGAAAAAGCAGGGGTTGTGCCGTTTGAACTAAGCAGGCTTTGTCTCTCCTGTGATGGTCTTAAAGAAATGCTTACTAATAAGTTTCATGATGGGAATTGTAGTATACTGCACATTTAATGTGGTTAATCTCAGCCTTTGTTAAATTGATTTGACTTAATTTCCTTTTTTAAATCCTTTTCTTACAAGTCCACAAACTTAATAGAAGTGCATTACTAAATCAACAGAGTAGCAATTTAAACTTAACTACAATACTCTGCCAATGCATTGCCTGCAGATTATTAATGATTCGCTCAGTGGAGAAACATCAATACATTTTCAGCAATCCAAAGATTTAGTGCATGTGGGACTTTGAGTAGCTTTGACCTTACTGTTTCCTAAGGGTAGCTCAGCAAATACAAACAGGTCCTCGCATGTGTTACAATTTATCATTTTGTTATGATTCTAACACTGCAGCAAAAACACTATTAGAAATCAAGTGAATTTATATGCCTTTTGGTCTGTGAACATTTCTCATTCTAAAAGGCATAATTTATACCAACATCATGATGTGATCACTCATTCATTTTGAGTAATGAAATACCCATGAATAAAATATTGGGGTGCTATGTATCAAACTCCGTCCATGTCTCCCTCACCTCTTGTACTCACACCGCACCATTTTAAACAGCTGGATCTGTGCCGGCAGCATAATAAATCTTATAGCTCTGGGAAGGGACATATCTGGGTGTTAAAAAAATACATGTGTGTGTGTGTCTATCATTTATTGGCTTTCAAGTGGAGATATCTGATTAAAAATCTAAAAAGTATTAATTTCAAAATAACATCACCAATGTGAAGCGCATCGTGTCCTTGAGTCACTATTATTCAAATGGGGGCGATTTGTCTTCTGTGACTCTGCTAGTGACCAACTGTCAAAAGTTACGAAGCAATGGGCACGAAATGTGATTTTAATAATCCAATTATAGGATGAATCACAATATTCTGCTATTCCTATCACCCTAAAGGATGACATGTACAGTACTACATGTCCAATCCCATTTAGGCTGTAAACTCAAGATGAGAACTAATTGAGTTTAGTTGACAAACAGCCTTCTGTGGATCAGGAGGGCTACCATAAGCTACTGATGGGCTTGTCACTCACTGTGGTTAAAGTTTGCTAATAGATTTATGTGTGTGCGTACTGCGAAGCCTCTGCAGCCGGATAATGTGGCTGCCAGTCTCCATGGCTAATGTCCCTTAATGCAATGGTGTTGCCTCTGATAAGCATATCATGATGTTTACATTACGGAGACTTCCGCTCCCCATTAGCAATCCCCTAGCTTGCGTGGCCAAATTAAATGTTTCATGCCCATACTAATGGAGCTTCTGCCCCTTAAAGGCTAACAATGTTGGCCTCCAGTCATAATACACCAATCAAAACTGATTTGTGGCATTTCAAAGACTGAATGGGATCATTGACATCACCTGACAATATTTGTCAACCACAAAGGTTTTCATACACACAATCATTGAGAACAATTATGATTTAGTATTATCAAGCATGAATACAAACTGGACCATATTCCGCATGTGATACTTACAAGTATTTTTTATTTTCGTAGACGTCATGTAGCTTCAACACATGTGGGTGTTCTATGAGCTTCAGAATAGCTATTTCCCGCTCCACCTGTAAAAAGAGATAGGTAGGGAAAAAGGGAGGAAGGAAAAGAGAGAAGGAAACAAATGATTAGTGTAACATCAACACGGTTAAGTTCCTTAAAGCAATCTAAGACCAATCGTCCAAATCTGCCCTCATACACTCTAAAAAACGATTCATGGGGTTAGTAGATTCCACTAAAAAATAAATACTTTTTCAACATAACATTTTTAGTTTTTTACCTCAACTTATTTTAGTTAGTTTACAACTCATTTTAATAAGTCTGTCAAACTGAAAAAGAACAAAAAAAATGTAACTTACAAATGTAATGATTTTGAAAAAATATTTCTGCGTTCACTCAACTATAGGAATATACTAAGTTAGAGTAACTCATATCTATTGAGTTTCAACGGTTTAGTTTCAAAACTGAAAACACGCCCGGACTTTGCTGACCGCATGTTGAGTTGGAGCAATCTGCATTCATCCTGGAAGCAGAACTCTAGATAGCAATGGAACAACAGGATTTCAACCTAATAATCTATCAAGTTACCTGGTAAGTAGCCATTTTTGTTCAGCTTCATTTACAGCTGCATATACAGTGTAACACAAGCTGTAAGGTAGTCATTAGCTACTTGTTTTAAGCTACTGTAGCATGCATAGCATACTGATTAGCTAGCTGTTTGTATCCTCCTGTATCCTTTGTGTCACAATTGCAGTCAAAGTTCATTATTTGTAATACAGTATATTTTTTTCTTGTTATATTTAAATTTCGTTAAATTTGATAAAAACTGATTTAAAATAAATATGAACAGCAACTGACAATGCCCGGCATGTTCAGTTTTTGCAAACAATCCTTTGTTTTTCTTTCTTAACATTAAAATGTTCTCCTTTTAAGGATGATTTGGTGGAAAGAATAAAAGAGGTTGCTATCCGTTGCTTGGTGGTGTGTCTTCGTGAAAAGGAGGATCTCTTCAATGAAAACTTAAGTAAGTAAAGACGATGCTTAAATCAAACTGTAACTTGTGTTGACCTGAAACACAATGCAATGTTTTCAAATCTGATTGCACCAAAAACACTGACATTTATTTTCTAATCTACTTATTCCAGGATGGTGAAGTGGAAGTTAGCAATGAGGTGCTGAAGATTGACTTGACCAGGGGTGCAGATACAAGAATAGTGATTGAAGGAACAGAAGTCCTTCAAATCTCGGATGCGACAAGAGCCTGTGCCATGCTGATGGGGCTAATATACGCACTCAACCTGACCTAAAAGAGATGTTAAAAACGTTGAAGCAGGTTCATGCCTTTAATTTAATTTTTGTATTTACTTTTATTTCATATTTGAGAACATTTGTTATAAAAAGGTCATTGTGTAAAGAACATTTTAAAATAAACTGTTAAAAAAAGTGGAACTTAAATGTGTATATTGTTTTTGACTCAAATAAATGAGTTTCTAATACTCAAACAAATTAAGGTAACAATTTGCATGGACATTTTTGAGTAGTGTGAACTTAAATAAATAAAAGACAATAGCTTAAATTAAACAAAATGCAACTTAATATCACTTAAAATGATAAAATGAAGTTGGTTCAACTTAATTTAGATTTTAAAGGTGAAAGCAATTATGTTTGTAGTACTGAACTAATTGAGTTAATCAGATTATAAATGGGTACTCGGATTAACTTAATAATCGATTAAATTGGAAATATTTAAAAAGATCAACGCAAATTGTTACCTCAATTTATTTAAGTAGAGCCGGTGTATTTTATTTGCCGAGTGTACACTGCAACTCTCAATGCCAAAACTGAAGTACCAGGGAGACAAACGGACTGACCCGAACACAGCCTATGACGAGTTCTCGGCAATCATTTTTCTGAGGTCAACAGAAGGTCGCTTAGAGAGATAAATCTGAGAGGCAGCAATCTGTAATAGCACTTCACACAACCAGCATAGGAGCTTAGAGGGAATAAGAATGAAAGACGCTGACTTGCACTTTCTACTGGCGGCAAGGACAGAGATAGGCTTTGACCACACTCCAGGCATCCAGCACAGCTATCTTAGGTGGAAAATGTAGTTTTCTTCTAAAACTGAATTTAAACAGGTTGAGTATGTCTTATCTCGCAAAAATAGTGATCCTCCTCTCTCATAAAACAAGCCCCTTTTTGCAATTACATTACATAGGCCAGTGGTTTCCCTGAGGAGAGCAGAAATGAACTTGGTTTGATAGAACACATGAAGTTGAATAACCTGTCAGAGTCAGACATCCCCCATTTGAACATATCTGTCTACTAAGAGTACCAGCCTGTGGTTGAGTTGAGGTCAAAATGTCAACACAGGGACATCAGCATCTTGAAAAAGAGGCAATTTTTTCCTGCAGTCAGTTTGAGACTGTGGCTGTACATACTGTATACTCTAAACTCCTGCCATGTCCAGGTTCAACTTCTTTTTTTGCTGTTGCTTACAGAACTGCTGAGAGACATAATACACTGTACTGTGTGTACGGTGAGAGCAGAATTTCACGAAAATCGAGCATCAGTTTGGATTTGTGTCAGCATCTCAGGAGAGTGGTAGTCAGCATGTACAGCTGCCACTGAAAATCAGCATGGAACCAACTTCGACAGGAGCCCCAGCTAATCTTCAGCCCCCTGTGCTGCTCTCCTGCTCCTCTTGCAGTTATCGGCTCCTCCTTCTCCTTCACCTTTCTTGTCCACCCTCTGTGTTCAGCTTTGTCTGACGATGAAGAGGATGAAAGGACAGTGTGAGGTGGAGGCTCCTCTGCCTCATCTCAATCTCATCAAAGTCAATTTCACTTTGTCCCTTGCCTGTGACAGCTTTCAGGCAGCTTTAATGTCACATTCATCGTGGCTTAACTTTATGAACACTCATGGGGAATGAAGTCAAAGCTCTGATCTGCCAGCTAACTCAGTTTGTGTTAAACTCCCACAAAGCTGAACGCTTGACCGAGCGTAAAATCAGGATCCTCCCTCTTAATTATGCTCTCACATTGTTTTTCATTCCAGAACAGCCTGTATTACTGATTACTGTCAGCTCAGGTACCCCATCTTGACACACTTTTGATGATTATTTTTTGCCAGAAATAGCAGCATCCCTATCTTCACTCTTTAACTATCAGTCACTGAAGAGAAGAAATGCAGAGCAGAGCAACACGTGTTGAGGCCACAGCCAAGAAGAAGTCATGGGAGAATATAAAGCTAATAAAACAAGGCACACAGCTTGTGTAGAAAGGGTAAAATGGTAAATGCGTAATTAGCATTAGCATGGAGTATCAGTGGGAGTACCGGCTAGGCTAATCAGGGCTAATCCGGAGACTAATGAACGCTATCAGCAGCGGCACACCATGCCACTTTTTCACCTGAGGCTGAGGTGCGTTGTTAAGAATGAACCCATGGAGGCTATAGCGAGCTAGCTGGCAGCAAGGTTCCCTGCAGAGAGACTAATGCTACCCAGGACTCAGGGAGAGATGAGCTGTCGAAATGCTACAGAGCCAGCAGCTGGCTTCCTAAGCTTCCTCTAAGCGCCTCCTTTTACTTAATTGAAATAAGAGAAATGAGGCTTAATGTGAAGAATTAACTGTACAACTGCCTTCTTATTGCAAGATTAGCTGTTGATTAACACACTAATGTAAATCTGTGGAGCAACCCTGTCTTTTTTCTAGTATAATACAGTCAACAGTTTCCATTATAAACGTACAATTGTCAGTCAAAATAAATTATCTGAGAAATACATTGACACCTCACATGCTTTTAGTGAAAAAGGAAGCAAGTGAGACAGCTAGAACAACAACAATAACAACTGCATTTCTTCACACAAACTTCTTATCAAAGCCTCAAACACACAGATTCATCTAACACCTACATAACTTCATGCTAATATAAATACCAGGTGGTCATCCTCGTCCCTGGCTCCTGTACATGGCTGCACACTCTCTCATTAAGTTTCACATCTGTGAGTGCGGACAGCTCTCTCCATATCTCCATTGCACTTCATTAAGCCTTTATTAGCAGGCGCTTGGACACCTTTCACCGACACACACACACAGACGAAAGCACTAAGGCACACGGACAAATGGCCAGTTGGACAAATGGCCAGTTGGTCAGATGGACACACACCTTTTCTTGTCATCTTTCTTGCGTTTAACAGTTCAATGTATTGCCAATTTGCTACATATTTTCCCAAAAAAAACAGGGTTAAAAGAGTAAGAAAAAGGAAGGATAAAACACCTGATCAGAAACCAGAGATTGAACAAGATTTTGAAAACTGACAATAATCAATATTTGCTATTGGACAGGTAGATACTGTAATTTGTCCTATGAAATATGTGGGAATGCAGAGATGATTCCGGTTAGGATGAAAACTACAAATTACATGTGATGAAATGAAAATATGACATCATACTGCCAGGCTTTAAGAAACTGCATTCGTACCCTGTGGATTAAAAGCCATTTTATTTTAACTGGTATTTAATTGTGATGTTGTTCTTTTTCAAAGTAGGTCTGATGTGATGTATTACTTGTAATTATGGTGTAATTTGCCGGTGCAGATGGTATTTTATAATAGAAAAGAATAACTATGTGTGAGAGGGATACTGGGAATACTGGAGCTACATGGATAAATGAGGCAAAGCAGTCACTAAAGCTCACATGTGTCACTTTCCATTCAAAGGATGAAAGCCAGTTTAGCATAGTTCCATCAGCTCGCTATTGATTCTTTAAATTACAGCCCTGGATCTGAATGGCTGAATGGACGAGCAAACAAATGACTGGCGACGTCAATAGTTTCATCTATGTGTCTAAGAGTCCAGAGAAAGAGGACGGAGGATCACAGACAGCCAGGCAACAACAAAGACACAAAGAGATTAGATTCATGTCACACATGTCACAGGGCAACCGAACAGAGAAACCATTCCAAAACCTCACAGAGGAAAATATTGGATCACAGGCTCTGTCATCTCTCACTCTCCACTTATTGCCTCTCGCTCTCTTTCTCCCTCTCATGCACACTGAAGGAAAA